CCGCCATGTTGGTCTCGTTAATAAGCAAAACTACACACAAGAGCTCACCTGAGGGCTATTTGTGAAACATATTGCACAACGCCGTACTCAAACACTATTACACGAAAGCTCCAATAACTTATGAGTGTTTTGGATGTTTCGCATATCTGTTTAAGCTTTATAATGATTTGTGGATATATGTGTGAAAACTAACTGGTACATTTAAATATTTTTATTATTTATTTAATATATTTATGTACTTTATGGAATTAAAGCTTTATGTAAAAATATATCTTTGACTTTATGTAGAATCGATTATTTGATTTGATGTAGAATCTGTAGGATTATTTTATATTATTTTATAATTTATATTGATTCCTTTTCATGTTTGAAACTTTTTCATATAACCAGATAAAAATAACTTAATAGCTGTCTCACTACTGATAAATATACTTGTAAATATGTTGTAATAAATGATTAGGTATTATATACGATTTACATATACTATCATAAAATTACACAACTCGTGAATTTATCAGTACTCTGCGCTAACTCTCACATTTTAATTTGATATGTCTGTTAGTCATCGGTAGCACAGATAATATAATAGTATACTAGTCGGTAGTAAGTAAGTATACAGCGGAAACTTATTCCGTCGCAGCTCACACCCTCATTTCATCCGCACGGAACAATGAAGTCGCAACTCGTCTTATCTCAGACTGTTTATTGTCTGAAGTTGGCGGGATAGCCGTTTTGTTACCGATTGCCAACAACTCAGTTTAGATGAGCAAGTTGTTCGTTACTCCCGTGAGTACGCTTTACAAGAGACGATATTTGAAATTATGTCACCATCAGACAATTGTTATAAAACATGTGTGCGACAAACAAATTTTCTTTTTTGTAAAAATTTGTTTTGAATCCTCTATAACAATTCATTTACGTCCTATAAAATGGAGTGGAATGAAAAATATAAGATTGCCTTCTATTACCATTCATTCAGATCATTGTTAAGGAAATACAGTAGGTATTAAATTATATTGCATATTTTAATGTATTTTATAAATACTCGTAATTATTTCCCTGAACGTACGCTTACGCTGAACTCAATTCTGTTGAGAAATATTTTCTTTTATTAAATTTGTTTCTTCAACAATAATTCAAAGGCCAAGTCGTGATGACCTCGAATCGCATACTATTAAAGTATTATTCAAAGGGGTACTCATTCGCTCGTGACGAATTCACTGCCTGTAGCTAACTAATTGCTATGAAATGTAGCGCCCCCATGGGACAACCGCCCTGATTTTGTTTTAATCGAAATTTTCTGCTACGCAACGACTACGGGATATCTATATTTATCATAATAGCAAACATCAAAATTAATCAAAATATCTTATTCAATATTAATTTTATTAAATAAATATGCTTAAAATATAGCTATTGCAGTTATTACGATTTCCACACAAAAAATAAATTCAATCGGGTAAAATTAATGTGGGATCAATACGGTAGTAAATAATCATAAAAATTAGTACAGACAACAAAGATATCACGTAGCGCAAACGAAAAAAAAATTATCAAATTAAGTACTTCATCAATTTTTAAGTCGATTGACATAGAATAAAAGAACAAGGTTTTTGATCTTAAATTGTAACAAATTTAGTAAATTGCGTTATGAAACTTGTATGGTTTTGTAACTCAAAGAAACCGTACACTCTTTGAGATATACCTTCATAATTGTTAAAAGAAAACAAAGCTTTGTATGTAAAAATATTTGCTATTTACTGAGAGATCGTATATAAGGTTTGTTGTTAAAATACCATTTTATAAACTTATATTAAACATAATTTAAAAAAATGGTATTAAAACTTTAAACAGAGGTTAGTAAATGTATGTTATATATCATCAAGAAGTAAATTTTATCTTATTTTTACTAATATATCTTGCTTTCTTTTTTTATTATCTTACTTCTACAATAAAATTGTAACTGAATGGTGTCTATATAAGAAAGATTTTTATTAGAAGTCTAAATCAGAACAATATAAATAAAAACTTTTTTTGAATTATTATGTGTCTGTATGTTTGTTCCAACATCACGAAAAAAATACTGTACCTGGTACATTAAAGTGGTACATTAAAACCTGGTGTAAATTTATTATTTTTAACTTGATACGCCATTTAAAAGTGGTATATTTTATTAATTCTAAATCTTCTTAGGCACTTACCTATCTAAGTATAAATTTGCCTTAGAATCTTTAACAAGACAACTAAAAACCGCTATAATTATTCAGAGTTCAACAATTCCTAATCCCATTTAATCGAAACTATATCCTAATAGAAGTCTTTCAAACCCCATCCCTCCGTCATGGACCATCGAAAGTTCGTTAAAGTAATGTCACTGTCTCGTCCATCCCTCTCCAGAACAATGAGATAAATATATACCCATCAATGAAGGGAAAAAGAGAGCCAACCATTCAGTTAATACCCTATAATCACAGTTTTGTTTTCCAATCGCTGCTAACGATTATTGGCGTGTTATTCGGGTGCCATTTTGAAATTGCTTTAGTGCTACAAGAGAAAAGTCGTTATCAAGTACAATAAAAGGGCACAGTGATTAGTACTCCAAGGTGATTATGCTGTTTTATTTTCTGATACCAACTTTTATTTGGTTACTAATTGTTGTTTACAAACAATAGAATGGAAGATACTTTTAAATAAGACAATTCAGAATTTTCTCACTTTTATTCTATACATAATTAGTTGTAATAGTCTAGATGTAAGATAATTTAACATTTCTTAAGACCGTGAAATCTGTTACAAACATGAAATAATTTTTTTTATGCAACTTTGAATGGCAAACAAGCTGACGACCTACCTGATGAAAAGTGGTAACCATCGTCTATAGACATGAGCAGTATCATGGACATAACAGAGTATACTGTTCGCTCATGATACCTCCCATGCGTTGCCATTCCTGAGGACTCAAGTGTTATTCCTCTGTATCCTGTAAATTCACTGCCATAACCCACCCTTCAACACACACCATGCAAACAACTGCTTAACGGTAGAAACACGAATGAAACAGAGGTGCCTAAGCAAATGACTTTTGTACAGTCTCCTTCTAGTTTCGTTTTGTTATGTTTTGAATGCACAAAATATTATAGTATAACTAATTCAGAGTCTAGTCTAAACACTGTTTCTCCTGTTTACCATATAAAGACCCTGTCCAGAAGATAGATATATATTGCTATAATATTCTCAATTTCTATAGTAACAAATTAGCATGAGACCAACACGACAGATGAGACGCAGTAAAGATTTTATGTAAACTACACCACTCTGAATAATTCAACACCCACTAAACAAAGACTACTGATACAAAGTAAAACGAAACGTTTGTTTTAAAATTGCAGATTGGCTGGTAATATGCATATTCACAAAATTTTCATCAGATTTATTCTATGATTATGCTCAAAAAAAAAGAATTGGATACTCCAAAAATAAATTATAATCACAAATATGCACTTATTACATTTTTAACAGGAGTAGCTATCGGAATTAAAATATGATGGTGAAAAAGTGAATAATAACGAATCGAAAAAGAGTAAAGACATGACAAATCTCATAAATGTTCAGCATATACCAACCTAATTATTAAAGTAATGGATTCCTAAGAAACTTAGTTTACACTTACTCCTTCTTTTTGTTTACGCTAATTCTTATATAAAAACTTTAATATACCGGCGCTAAAATACTTAAATAAATGTATTCAATAGCGTACAAATTCATTATTGCAATAATTACGTTGTACTTACCTATTGTAATAATTTTCTAATACAAATACGAATTTACTTCTATAGAAAACTTAATAATAGAAAAATGTTATACACTTATGTATTTTACGAGAAGAGGAGTAATCCAATTTTAAAATGTTGCCCAGAGCATACATATTATAAAACGAGATATTGTCGGGAGCTTAACGTTTAAATTAGTTTATCCCCCTAAAGCGGAACCAAAACGAAGGGTTGCAAAATTTAAATTACAAATAAAAGTACTGAAAAACATCTATGAGTGAGTAGTGCCTCAACAACGATGTCTTTTAATTAAACCATAAAGGTTAATAAAGAGAATTTGAAAACTTGAACTTTTACGCGAAGACATTTTGGAGAATTGTAAATTTTACATCAGTTGGAAATACATTTAGTACCTACGTACTACGGAATTTTTTTGAAAAATAGGTGTATCTAATTCAAATATCAAACGGACAATGGCTTAAATATTTAATTGCTAATTAATACTCATCAATATCACACATAACTATCTAAGTTTATAATTTTCAACCGACTTAAAAAAAGAAGAAGGTTTTCAATACAGTTGTATATTTTAATGTTTGTTACTTCATAACTCCGTCAGTTATAATCCAATTTAGAAAACTCTTTTTTTATCTGAAAGAATATTCTTATAGATTGGTCCCATATAAATTTTATCAAAATCGGTTTAGTAATTTAGTTTTAAAAACAAAATAACTTGTATTGCCACATCGGTTTTTTTATAGAACTCATAATAATAAGTATACTACAATCACAAAAAATAAGTCCATGTAAATAATTGCGGTACTCGTTAGATATGGGTATATTTTTTAATTTAAACCCAAACCAATGACACATATTTTACACGCTCCCAAATTCTCTACGGTCCACTACCGCTTCACTCAACTGTACCAGATAATATTGAATATGCCGCTCGACTGACTGTCCGTCCGTACGTCACATGGCAACTGCCCCAGGAATCCCTTCAAAGCACCTGTATTTGACTTGCATGCCTCAATGGACATCTGCAAATAGGTAGATATGCAATATCCTTTGGATATCACACATTCCAGGAATATTTAATATTGGGATATCAAAAATATTACCTTGGAAATAAAATATCATATACCTATGCAAAAACGTTTATTTACAATATTTATATAGATTTTGTTTCCGTTGCTCAAATCGTGTATCGTAATTGAAAAACTGACTTGAACTTTTATTTTAATGAGTATCTCAAGAAAGCAAAATGATCAATAAATACCTAAAAAATCTATCTACAGATAATAATAGATAGATACAATTAAATGTCATGAGAATAATACTAAAAATAATTTAATTTTCACAAAATTTTAATTTTACTGCCGTCTGTAATTGTAAACAAGCCTGTTGATCTTGCTTGCTTCCATACCACCTTCCCTCGCATTTGGTACATTATAATAAGTGTCATCATAACTCGCATATCGATGTGTGCTAGGCTTATATTCAAGTTGAAGATAATCACCTTCCTCTCGCCTCAACTGTCCTTTATCCTTTCCATCATATCTAGGATCCTCGTAAATAGTGATAGTCTGTTTATGATGTGCAACAACTGGAGCATTTTTTGGAATTTGAGCCACCGGATCGTTGCGAGATTCATCATATCCGTAACCATACCCATATCCATGATTTGGTCCATAACCGTATCCACCGTCATGTCGCACTCCATAATCATCGTAATATCCAGGACCGCCATAATCTCTTTCCCAACCTGAACCTCTATCCCATCCCGAATTTCTATCCCATCCTTGATCTCTGTCCCAACCAGGGCGATGCCAACCTTTCCTATCTTCATTCCATCTATTCCAGTCCCATCCTGGGTCGTGACGCACAGGTGGAGCACGATATTCTGAACGATCATGCACTTTATCTCTATTGTAACTATTTCTATCATCGTAATACCTATTATGATGTAGATTATCATCTAAATGATATTTTTTTCCATAATCCTGATGGCTTAAGTGTTTGGCACCATTGTCACCGTAACGGTTATATCCCCCGCCATAATAGTTATCACGTACATATTCCTGGCCATTGTTGTGAGAACCTTGATAACGTCTTCCACCCTGATTATCGTGGCTGTTCAATTTACTGTTGTACGCAGCTTGATCTCCTTCATCATTAAAATCGTCAAAGAATGTGCTTTTATTGGAAGATTCGTCTTTGTGATAAGAATTTTGGAATCCCTGTTTGTGATGTCCTTTTTTGTGGCCTCTTTTATAGCCCGTCGTATGACTGTCCTCAGCTTTGTCTTGTTGGGAATTGTAACCTTGATATGCATCGCTCTCTGCTGATGATTTAGTGTCGTGATCTTTCTTCACATATTTTGCTTCATCATTAGCTTTCGAGAACTGATTTTTATGGACGTCATTGACTTGACTTTCAATCTGATGTACTTTTTCTCCCTTCTGCTTATCTTCTTTGATAGACTCGGCCCCTTCTTTATGAGCGGCATCCTTTAAATGTTCTTCTAAAGCTTCTTTCAGAGCTGATGCACCAACTCCGGAAGTTAACAAAATCACTGATATTGTTATACTGATAAATGTTTTGTATCGAAGAATCATTTCATTACACGGTAAATGCGGAATAACCCAAAGATGTTGTCGGTAAAATGTCCGAGCACGTAATAGGTGAGACTCCCATTGCATAAACAGTTTTATATTGACGAAATTCGTGTTGGACTTCACGGTGAATTAGGGCACAATGACAGGAACCACAGAAGCTGTTGATGGGAACAATGACTAGTCAGCACGACAACACGAACGAACGGAGCGTCCATGACATGACATTATTAAACTTGAAGCGCGGACGTACGGTGTAGGCCGTGATGATCGAGGTCAATAAAACTTATTCGAGGACGTTGACTAAGTCGTCGTACCATCTCAATATTTATTCTATTACGTTACTATAGATTTTATTATTAAAATCTATGGTAACGTAATAGAATAAATATTGAGATGGTACGACGACTACTACTACATATAAATATATATATATAAAAATAAAAAAAAATAAAAAGTTTATAAAAATTATCCGTGTGGTCCCGGACATAGAATAGGCCACCCCCTCCTTTCCCGTGGGTGTCATAAGAGACGACTAAGGGAGGACGAGAGATAGGCAGCGTCCCTCTTAAAACATCTCTAAAGCTTAACTTCGGATGTCAATCCGCCTGCCAAGCGTGGCAACTACTGGCAAAACCACCCAAGGGGAAGGCTTATGTTCAGCAGTGGACAGTTAAAGGCTAATATGACGATGATGATGACATATAAAATAAGAGTTGTGCCTGTTGGCGCCTTGACAACTCTAAAATATATTATAAAAATTGACATATTTAACATGAAACAGGACATATCTAGATTAATCTTATCACAGACTGATTATCTGATATATAACCATCTCGATATAACTGACTCTAACTCTAGCTGACTAACTCTACTTGTGACTACGGCGTCTCCGTTATTTAAATATCTGCCTTGTATAGATTTGATAATCGGCAGTTAATTTATTACAGAATAGCATGTTACATATAATTCAAGATTATTCAATAAAATCAACTAAGTGAGTATCTTTTTTAATGTAGCTATAGACATAACTGTAATAAATAGATAGGTTGTGCCTGAATCACTATATTTTAATAATTATACTGATATATAATAATTAAATATAACAACATATTCCTATTATCTAATCTAAACTTACTACAATAAACGTAGAAGACAAGTCATAAAATAATACTTTTCGTAAATAAATCAGCTTGGTTGAATGGTCACCATTTTGTATCGGATATCCTATTGTTTTGCGAGGTTTTGTGATCATTGTTTAAGTACCATAAACAAGTAAATACCTACATACTAACTTATTTGACATTGCATTCAATTGTTAGCTAGGTCAATGTTGGGCAAAATAAAATACATAAAATGTAAGATTCACAGATTGTAACTAATTCGAATTGACAAAAATTGCACAATAACATTACATTGAATATTACATAGGAAACATCTGATATCTAAATAATTCTATCTATATATCTCAATCAAATAAAGGAGGTATTAAAATAAATAGTCAAAAGTTATTCTTTATTAGATTCGCAGATGATACAGCAGCACTCGCAGAGGACTCCAAACAGTTACAGGAACTACTATTGATCACGAATACAACCTTTAATAAATATGGACTCAAAATTAATAGCAATAGAAAACTAAAATAATGACAATAGCTAAAACTAAACCTCAAACAGATAATACTATAAAAATTAACAATACTTAAATTAGAACAAGTAAATACATTTAAGTATTTAGGCAGTTTAATCGCAAGTGATTCTAGATGTACTCCGGATAACAAAAACACCTTTTACAGGCTAAGATAACAAAAGATATTAGAAAGCGGCTTATCAAGATTTAACTCAGAAGGAAATCTTAAACTTAGAGCCTTTGAAATGTGGTGCTGGAGAAGGATGGAAAAAATTTGCTGGAAAGATCGAATTAGTAATGAGGAGGTCCTGCTTAGAGTTAAGGAAAAGAGACAAATTATTAGAACTATTGAGGACAAAAGGGGAAAAATGTTGGGACACTTGATATGACACGATGAACTTATGAACATTATAATAGAAGGTACGATAGAAGGAAGGAGAGAAAGAGGGAGACTAAGGCATAGTTATATCAGACAGATTAAGGAAGGAGTTGGCGTTGTGTCGTATCAAGAGGTGAAGAGACTCGCTGAAAATCGTAGTGAGTGGGATAAATTTATACATAATTAATCGTAAAGGATATACTTAGCCGAAACCTAGTAATAGTGCTCTATTCATAATACTGAACAACTTTTCCTGAGAAACAAATCCGAAATCTAAAAATACTCTTTTGAAATTTCCATAAAAACCATACGGTAACAACCCCTCCGCTATCGGTAAACACTAACGAGAAAGGATTACCAGTAAGGATGGTAAGTGAGGATAAAACCAGATCATCACGGCGAATTATTCATCTTCTTTTTTCATATTTTCAATTGTATAGCAAACAAACTTTACTGTCTCTATTCAAAGGCTATTTTCATAGAATATGATAATTATTGAAAACTTGACTGCACCTCAGATCGTTTGAGAAACTCAGCTTTTCATACAAATTTATCAACGTAATCATGAACTCTAAATCTTTGTACAACTCCCACTAAGCACTCAGAAGCCCAAATTAGAGTAAAGCTAGCTGAACAAATAAATGCCCAAAATTTGGGCATATTTATTTTAATAAATAAAATATGCGCAAAACGGAAAAATAACAAAAGGAGGCAACGAAATAGACAAAATATTGAATAAGTTTGGCATTATGTTATTTTACTAAATTAATCATACCTATATTTAAAAATAGACTAGTATAAATTTTCTAATGTTAACACATACAAATAATTATTTTCTTTAATTCATTGCATCGTATGGGTCACACAATGCAATCCTATGTGTATTTTAATGGACAAAACGTAACAAGAACTGTTTATTATCTGTGTAGTTCTGCTGTTATATTTGAACTGTACTAGTTTAAAAAAATATATACGAGTATATACAAAACTACCTACTTCTAAAAAGGCTATAGGCGACGGTGACCACTTTCCATCAGGTGGGCCGTCAGCTTGTTTGTTATTCTAAGTTGCATAAAAAAAGCATTATACATACATAATATACATAAATGTAATTTTAGTGAATGAAATAACAACAATAAAAAATACCAATGAAATATTTATTAATTTAAATAGGGTCACACAGAATATAACATAATATAAACATATTAATTAATTACTATTTAAAATAATACGAAAAAAAAGAACAAGTACTCAAATTGAAAAAGCATAAGGGAGATATTACAATAAAAGGTAACAATAAAAACAGAATGAAAATAAAAACTAAGGTTAAAATAAATAATATTCTAAGACGCTCAATATTTAAATCGTTATTTGTTAGAAATGAACCATGGCCACCATATGAAACATAAGCTAAAGCATGAAATATTTAAATAAAAGAACTTAACTATTGTTTAAAATTGTACTACTATTAATACAGTTTTATTTGGGATTACTCAGTGTTAGGAACTACGGTATGGGTGATATGGTGAATTAAATAATGAAGGGCATCCAATTTTAATTCTGTGTAATTCATTATCATCATCGTATGCATTATGTTTATAGTACATCAAAAACAACTCTACCCTTTTAAAAAATATTGACCTAAAATACTTTACAGCAATATGAAAGTATTAAATAAGATGGGCTTGATGAATTAGAAAACATATAAAGCAAAAAAACGGCCGAATACCTAAGTAACGCACATAAATTTACTTTGAAAAATATTTATAAACATACTCTCAACCGATTGAATTATTCCTGAAATTTTAATATTTAGAATATATCACATTTCAATCACACACCTCTTTGTAAAAAAATATTTGTTTTTAATTTACTGAATGAAATAAACATTTGTACATAGATAACGAATCAATAATAAGTAATTAAAATAATGCCGGCAACTATCATTTTTGGTGCCAAAATATAGTTACACTAAAAATAAATACCTACTATAATTGGATACTTACCACAAACTCTTATTTCATTTACAAATGTTCCTAAATAGTGTCGCAATTATTGATACATCATATTGTTTGCAGTGTAATTATACATACATTATGCTCAATAAGGTTCTTTTATTTTTATATATATTATATTGCCACAGTGAACAAAAATTCGTTTATGTACACAAATAATATGCTCTGTACAAACAAAAGCGCACTTTTTAAAAAGTTATGTTTATAAAAACTTGCGGCACTATTTAGAAAAAAAACTGGATGGAATAACAGTCCGTGACAAACGTCCTGGACTCTAATACTGTATCTGTAAAATTTCGTATAAAACACTTGAAAATTCACATTATTGCATGATAAAATCTAAGTTTACACTTTGAGGATAAACTGACATTTTACCGTACAATCAACTGAATTTTAAATTATACAAGTGATCAGAATATAAAATAAACGATTGTTTGGAAATAATTGCGAATCACTATATATTTATATACAGACATCAGACCCCATTAATTCCTTTCGTATTCAATAATGCCAATCTAGCATTTACTTCATCCACTAATTTTTCCCTCGGCACCTCCTCTTCCTGTCTTGAAACAATGTTCCTTATCTTCACCATACCTCGCTTCAGTTCCGACTCTCCTAATACAACAGCTAGCGGTATACAATTATCTTCGCAGTGTTGTAGTTGAGTCAGCATTTTAGGATTTTTCTTGTAGGAATGCTCCGTCTACAATTACAAAGCATTTATATAGTTATTTATATCAATTACTACTGCTACTGCTACTGCTCACAAAACAAGTTTTAACAGTACGTGAAAAGTAATAAGAACTTATGTAAAGATGCCATACTGTTCTCTCTGCTTACCCTTAAAAACAATTTGATTAGGAGGAATAATAGAAAATTTATCAGAATAAAAAAATATGTATATGCAATGTAAAATACTATCAAAAATATACCCAAGAATAATACCTTTATGCCAGCATCCCACAATTCAGTGCAGATCTTCATTCGTTCCTCGAGGAAGTTTTTCTGCGCTGATGCGACATACACGTCCACTTCGTTAGTGCGCACGCGCATTTCACCGGCCGCCAACTTCGCTTCCAGGACCGAAAATATACGCTCAACACCAATACTAACGCCCACGCACGGTACCTGGAATTATTAGTTGTGAAATGATTATTATTAATTAAAATAATGTATTTAACTTACTTCCTCTGAGTTAAAGAACATGTATAATAAGTAAAGAAAAAAGTATTATTATTATCAGCCGTTAACTGCTAAACATAGGCATCGTCCTATTCGGAGGTTTTTTAAGAGAACCGCTGCTGCCCATCCCTCGACTATTAAGTTCCCTTAGTCGCCTTTTACAAAAACCACAAGATTCATCCACACTATACGGCCGGGACCACACTGTTACCATAAAACCCAAATAAAGGGTGGTTCCTTTTATTTGGGTTTTAACTCAAAACTCCACTATTTAGCAGTGTAACCTAACTATAGAGGAATATAAAATACCAGGCTACTATTATATTATATTACACTGGTCAAAGGAATAGATTTTATGTCTATTTTCCCTTATCTTGCACTCTTGTATTTAACGCTTTGTTCTCTATAACATCCAGTGGATGAAAAAACGTGCTGAAAGATTAATCTACAAATTTTAGATATTTAATAAACAAAACACGATAATCAACATGGAGCCCCTGTAATATTATTTATTTTATTTAACCCTTTGAAATTTACCTACAACACAATTTTAAAATCCAAGCTTCATATGACAATTTTAATATTAACAAGTCAAAGTGATGTAATAACACATACCTGTTTGTTTTTGGAATCAAACATTCCGACAAGATTATCATATCTACCGCCGCCAGCTATCGATCCCACCGTTTGTTCCTCATTGCCGATTTTAATTGGTTCTGAAATAATAATATTTTATCATCAGATTCAATGATCACAGGGTTACACAACTGTGATTTATTACTGCTTGCAAAAAATTTACTTACATTTTTTTCTTAATGTAATCTTTATATCAGACCAAAGTGGACAAAGAGAACAAATATCAAAGTAAGAGGGGGTAATATGTAGCACTATCTATATATTGTACTTATATTGTGTATACATATTGGTCCAATAATGGATAAATTAAATATCAGTTATCCAATATAAAATATTAAAAATCCCGATCGTAATGACTATGGTATGGGCGATATCAAAGCAAGTGATGACCATTTTTTCCGTGATCAATGTCTAGAGGTACCCAATATAAAGATATGGAATCGGTACTTACGTTAGCCATGCATAGGCATGCGTAATATGGATACCAGTCTCTTATATTAGCGTAAATCTCTTGCTTACTCCACTCAATCGTCTCAAACATACACCTATTAGAGGTCTATCTAATCAATATAAATCAGTCAGATGTAACCCACATCTTTGTCCATATTTATTATCAAAAAATTTATAAAAAAAAATAAGTAAAAGTTTAGCTTAAGCAGAAAAATGCATATATTAAATACGTACAGTATAAATTACCTGTTAACACAGCTTCATAAATAACACCAGTGTAGTAATCTAATCCTCTAGCTAAACTTAAATCGAAAAGTATTTTATCCTTAATTCCAAATAATTCGCAGTACTTTAGTAATAGTATGATGCCTTCTAGGCCTTCGATTGCTGCCTTAGAATTAGACAGTTTCTCATCTTTCAATAATTTCTCAGCCAATTCTACGCCACCATTCATAATAACATATTTCCCTATTCTGTCAGCTGCCTCTGGCATTACACCTTTTTCATTTATCATTTCAGTTCGAACTTCTTCCCATGGTGACTGGAAAACCAAATATTATTTAGTATAAAATCAAATTCATTCAATTATATAAATATAAATGACATTTTAATTTTGTAATTTTATTTATAATTTACTAATTGTTAGATTCGATTTGATTTGTTTATGTAAATTAATTTTGAATCGATATTTTTGACCTAATTGCGTATCTTGAAACAAGTCATGCTCACTAATACACAAACTTATGACAATATTGTAGACCAACTCGTAGGGCTCTCTGTACCATGTTTGTAGCACAACAATGACTAGCTTATTTGTCATACTCGTGAACGGATGCTTCTAGTAGAGACAGATCTGTTGAAAAATTTTGTGACTGATTGTAGGTTTTTATCAATATAAAATTTATGATAGACATTTTATCCATTTACATTTATTTTCTTTGTAATACACTTACAAAGTAAATAAAACCTCTGTTAAAAAGTAACAGCTGAGTTTCTTACTAGTTCTTCTCAGTTGAAAATACATTCCGAACTGGGGGAACTAGGGAACTAACTAATTAAAAATATTATCCAAAAATACTTACAATTCAATTTTCTTGAATAAATAATGATTTATTCACTGAAACTACTTATTATTTTCTGGTGATATTCCTGATGATGATTGTGTCTTTTAATCTAGCTATCATACTCACAAATCAACTAAAAAACACTTACTTTGTCGAGTTTATCTACAGAGGAACAAGTTGTGCGAAACTTGTCTGCTGGCACTCCACAAGCCTCGAACATCCCATCAAGTAATCTCCTATGATTCACCTTCAGTACATATTTACCGATATCGAGGAAGTTCAATATTTCTGTGACAACTTTGAGACATTCAGCATCAGGTACCATCAAATCATATTGACCAGCTATATCAAAGTCCTAAAATTTTAAATAATCCTTAATTACATGCTATTAAAATTAATTTCCGGTATTTCGCATTTTTTATTCCTTCTATTATTAGAGCATCAACGTTACTTTTAGTGTTAGGACAATGAAGTAAATAAGTACAATAGTATAATAAAATATGTGAACACTCTATTATTTTGGTTACTAAAAAATATTTAAAAGAGAGATGGTGTATTCAGAATCATTAGTCAACTATTATAAATATAATAATGAATTTACGCTGAAGGCCTAACACTATATCTCAGATTAATTTGGTTTCTCGAAGGTGTTATCCATCAACGAAGAATCATTTAAAAGTATAATACAAATTGCAAATTTTACAAATGTATGATTCCAAGATATACAAATTCACATCCTTTATATTTGAGTCTAATAAATAGAGTACTATCCCACTAGTTTACTCTAAATTTTATTAATAACTGAATTATCGCAAAGGTCACTATGATTCACACATAGTAACCCACATACGACATTAAGTACGGAAATACAGAGCAGGCTAAGGTCACAGTGATAAAGAAGTGATTACACATATAAATTGAATGTGTCCGAGACAAATTGAGGAGTAGCGGGGGAAGGGGTATTAAAAGATGATAAACTTTGGATGGAATTGTAAAAACAGCCAATTAGCTTTGCTCTAGAGACATACATAAAGTGTGTTATGCAGAACACTGTGGCTCCACCATTTTGAACATTCCGCCTTAATGACGTAGTTTTGTCTTATCAAATAATGCAAATAAATGCATTTTAAGCTACTAATATTTCGAAAGGAGCTGATTCTCAATTTCTCTATATTTATTTTGGTATATATTATGCAATATAATTTGTAAAATTTGAATAGATCTTGATAATTCTTTTAGCAAAATTTTGCATAAAATATACTCCTTTATTACACGCATATTAATTTTATATTGAATGAGGTAATTTTTTTTAATCCAAAATCAAATCTTTAATTATTTTGTTGATTGGTTTGTAACACATTTATATATTATAGAAATAACAGAAAAATAATTTCATGTTGTTTTTATTTGTGAAAACCTTTACTATTATTTTATTAAAACTAAATAAAAAAAAATTATAGTGAAACTTTAAAACTGTTGGTTTTCCTTTAATAAAAAATAAATAATGTTGATTACATTATATATAATAAATAAAAAAGGAGATGGATATTAAAATAATCATTTAGGTAAACTAATCTTAATGTTAATAAAGATGATGTTCCTAAAACTTTTTTACATACAATTGAATTGGTACTTACACATTGGTAGAATTCCCTATATCTTCCCCTTGTCATTGCCGGATTATCTCTTCTGTAAACTTTGGCAATATGATAACGCTTAAGCATTGTAATTTTACTCATAGCCAAGTATCTCGCCAAAGGCACAGTTAGGTCATACCTCAATGATAAAATTTCTCCACCTTGATCTTTCAAGTCATAAATTAGTTTTGAATCTTCACCATATTTGCCGGTTAATACATCCTGTAATCACAGTTAATATTATGTAATACAAACTTAATCATTTTATATTTAAACAATTATACAATGCAAAAGTGCAAGATTGGAATACCAAAGAAGGTTCTTGCATATATATATATATATATATATATACATATATATACATATATATACATATATATACATATATATATACATATATATACACACACACATGAGATAAGCTATATAAATGCATGAAGCAAAAGTATGTATTAATATGGACTGTTACTCAGACCTCTTTAAGCCTGAAAAATAGATAGTCCCATTTATATATTTATAAGAAAACCTTATTTTTAACTTTATATAATTTTAGTGTAATTAAATGTGTAAGTAAGTGTAAAATTTAATTAATGTTTGCTTATATCTACTCTGTATAAATATGAATAAAAAACTGATAAAACCTATTAATTTTAATTAGAGTGATATTTGCTTTTTATAATCATAATATTTACCTTTAATTCAAAAACAGGTGTATCTATACATTCAGCACCGTGCTTCTTGAAGACGGCAATAATTTTTTGGAGGACATCATTTCTAATTGCCATCTGTTGTGGATTGTAATCTCGAGTACCTTTTGGTGTCTTAAGAGTAAATTTTTGTGGCACAGCATCTTCTGTGACTAACTGAGATTTCAATGCCAATAATTTTTTCACCTCTTCTTGTATCTTAAAAAAATACAATTAATTAATTTTCTCTGTTATTTTGAATTATTATTAAAATAAGGTTACACAAAATCCTCATAAAAATGGGAATTATTGGACCATTATATTACCTACAATTAATTTATTTACACTAAAATACAGCACAAATTATAAAAATATCATAAATATTTAAATGAAGTATTAATCAAATAGCCATTTAAACTCTAGAAAAAACAATGTAATAAAGTATAGCTATGTTCTAAATTTTATTGTTAATATTTAATTGTCAGTTTCAGTTCGTTTACTATTTTTTTATTAATCAGCCATGCACTACTTTCCAATACCTTGTAACAAGCAGTTGTCGAAATACTTTTGGTGAAACTGCCATTATGAACAAAGTTGCATAATTGCAACACAGCTCTGTGGTTTTTTGGAAATTTCAGCATTCTGAATAACATGCTTCAGTAATTTTTATGTAACTTATTTAAAAAATCCACTCATTATGATACTTCAACACCACTGCATTTCAGTAATTCAGAACCGGAAAAAGAAAACATTTGAATAGCAATTATATTCCATTAATAAAAGAATGTGGTGAAAAAGGACCATATGAGGAGATTCAACTTCAAACTACGTAAGTTTAGCGAGGGGTGTACCAATAAAGAATAAAGTGCTGCAAAGTTACCAAACTAACCAAGCTTTATATACAAATAAACAAAACAACAATGCTACTCAACTATTTGGTAACAAACCTGATCATCGAGCAATTTATTATTTTCCTTATACATAATACTGGGCAGTGAATTCTTAGGGAATAATTTTATTTCTGAGTCACTGAAACTCCGCATATGGTACCACCACCTCTTGAAATATTTGTATTTTTCAAAATCAACTTTTGTTCCTATGTTTTTATATATCTCAATATCACAATTACTGGGCATATAGCCACAGATATAACTGTATTGTGACAAATGTCTATCGATTTCTCGAAGATCATACTCTTTTACGGCTTTAACGCTACCTATTGAGTCAGTCTTCTTACCCTATAATATTAAATTCGAAATTTTAATAGAGCAGAAACTGGACAGATGGGGTAACAAACGCAGCGAATTACAACAGCTCGCAAAGGTATCGTAGGCAAATGCAATAATAATTTTATCAGCATCATCAGAATAATATTTTTTTAAAGAACTAACCTTTTCATTTGCCTCTTTCGCAGCTTTCAATTTTCTCACAAGATCACCTTGTTCTTTAATTTTCTGAAGTAATATTTCTTGTGATTCGGCCATGATTCTTATTTAAATTAGCTTTCATTCAAAACGTCCGTCTACTCACGATAACAATTGCAAGTACAGTAAAAGTGCTTAGAGATAATTACGGGTCAGCGTTTCAATGCAGTTCCTTTCATTTTTCTAAGAACTAAAACAGCATGGCATGCATAGAATGGATGGATGGTGCAAGAGTTAACGTTTAAGTAAAACGTCAACATCAACGTCAAACCCAAACCTCAAACTATAGACTAATATACAGATTACAAACTATTAATACCTAATTAACACCTGTGATCTACCTAAAACTAATCTTTATTTCATAAATTAAAAATAGTGTCTTGAGTGTAATTACATATAAGTACCTCGCAAATAGAATCTAATTTGTGATTGATGAAAATATAGAATATTTGCTGTCATTCCAAAAAACGAATGAGTAAGAAGTTAGCGAATAATAATTCTGCCTCTGCAAAGCATTTAACAAGCAATCATGTTAAATTCTATAAATTTTTACAATCAACAATCGTTCACAAAAAGTTCGCGCCAAAGTCTTATAACTGAAAATATTATTTATGCAATATTTGCAATTATAAGGCTATTCGTTTTTATAAGAAATCACCCCTTGTTCTTATTATCTATGTTTAAGATAGATAAAAAACAAATCTTGGATGTAGTTTAAATTATAATTACAACTAATTCCAAAATCCTTACCGTTCCTTTTTAATATCGCGTCTCATTTCATGTTTGTTAGTGGTATAATGGGCAACACCAGCCCATTATGTTTACTAAAATAAAAATAAAATATTTTAATGGTCCATAAATTTAGGGTTTAGGCATAATTTTAAACAAAAGTTTTGTTGAGTATATGTTATATGCAAGCTATGTAACCATTTTGTACATGACAAAATGGGGTTCATAAAAATATTGGTACATATAGTTTGGTATAAACAATAGAAATAAACGGCTGTGAATCATGTCTCTCATCCACACACTAACATTAATGTTTTTTAATAAAAAAATAAACTTATTAATAAAATTTGAAGGTTTTGGACAAATGTGTATAATAAAATTGTACAAAACGATCCTGGCTATAATACTTTTAAGTGAGAAGAGTGGGTTATTGATCTGGGGATTAATAGCTTTTTGCTAGTGTTATAACCCATCAAGTCGACCTTTACAAAGTTCCACCTAGAAATTAGTGTGATTAATTTTCGATAAATCATTATTAATAGATCAATTAACCTGTTTTATTTCTCACCTATCATTAAGCACTGGTATTTTTTATGGGTAAAAATAGAATGAGAACCCGCCTATGATATCGGTATATGCTAATGGCGCACTAATAAAACATGACAAGTTTTGGTGAAAGTGGTTTAGGTCAGTTAGCCCATCATGATGAATTCATCTAGAATTAGCCACAATGGTTTTTAGGAGAAATCACATAATTTTCCTTCTTCTCTCACTGGTATTCCGGCAGTCTATACTGATAGTGCAGGTGGGTTACAATTCCATTACCATCTATTAAAGACAAAAGCTTAATCAATATAAGAGCATATGGATTTTTAAGTAAGGATATAAGTATTATTATACGACAGACTCACTTCTCTTTAAACGAAAAATCGTTTATGTGATGTAATTTTTTAGACGGTTACATAGAGTCATTTTCTAGTTTCGTTATTATAAAAAAAGTGTCAGCGCTTAATTTTGAGATTTTTGTGATTTAACATTTGATTAATTACTCAAATGTTGTTTTATAATTTTTTGTGCTTATAAATTTTGCGAATAAAATGATATAAGTGGTAACATATTTATTTTATTTAGGATCTTAATTACATTGACAATGGACAGATTCGAATATATTGATGCTCGCTTATTCGAAGGCGAAACGTATATTAAACGTGATAAAAACGTTAAGATCTACGATGGTGAAGATAAGGTGAACATATTATGATATTATTCTTTTATTGAACTTTGTATAATTTAGGTTGTTATTATTTTTTAATATTGTAGGCAAATATTTTAAGAAAATTTACTTCAATGACAAGTTTATAGATATATAGTCAAAATAATGAACTTTTAGTTAGGTTACCAAATTATCGTAACTGTATAATTTTAGACTCAATTCACTGATGGCGAAGTAATTTTAACTACTCATCGTATACTATGGGGCAAGCCTGGTGATATACCTAAAGGACTTGTATGTCTGTCTCTTCATTTATACTATGTTTTTTGTCTGGAAGAAGAAAGACTAAAGGCAAATGGAGCAAAATTATTTGGAAAACCGTGGTTCTGCAAAGGAAAGGACACAAACAGAAATTTTGGCTTCCCCATCATGCACATGGTGTAACTCAAATACAGCCCAATCTCTACATCACCTTTTTTTTTGATTTGTCATTCAAAGAAAGGATAATATTACATCTTGGACCAGCACTCCCTGGTAAGGAAGTAATATGTTAAATAATTTTCTTGGATGTAGTTTAAATAAATAAAAAAATTATGTAATATTATACTCGACTGCTTTTATTTTTAATTTATATATAGATGTAATAATACTACTTTATAGATACAAATGATTCTTTTGATTTATTACCCTGATAAATTTTCATGTATAAAATTTTTTTATATACTTACTATTGGCCAGCATGATTAGTCTTAACTTTATTTCTTTATACAATTATTATCAAATTAATTTATATTATTCTACTAATCCTGTTGCTGGTTATCTACCCATGTCCATTAGAACTTTAATAGTTAAGATGATGCCAATAACTCAAAATAATTGTTGATATTAATCTTTGGTGTTACATTTTAGGTAAGAGGCCAGGTCCAGCTGTAGTCAGCCCTTATCATTTTGTGAAATTCTCCTTTAAAGATGGCATTGATCCTGCTTTCTACAAAGCTTTAAATGATGCTGTATCTGCCAAAGCATGGGAAAGACTTAGTCCACTGGTCTCACCATCAAGTTCTACTAGTCCTACATCATCCCCTAAACCAGTTACATCTATAAATTCTAAAATTAGATCTGGCATAGTTGGAATTGAGAGAAGCATTGAGGAGCAACACAGAGCAACTGATGAAAGTATAACAGTAGCTTTCCAGGACCTTACAAAACTTATGACAAAAGCAAAAGATATGGTAGCAATATCAAAAAATATATCAGCAAAAATAAGGGTATGTAATAATTGTTTACATTATCTACATGTTTCCTCTTTATCTAGTCATTTTTTTGTGATGGTATAGTATTTTGTTTCTTATTCAAAAATAATATAAATTCATATTTTTTTAAATACCCTAATGAAGCATAAAATAAATTTAACAATTTATTTATTTATTTAAACTTTACTGCAAAGTAAAATTCTATGTAAATTTGGTGGTCTTAATACTGGACGGTGTTCTCTCCCAGTCAACCATTGTGCAAACTGAGAAACATGTAGGCAGTACATTTTTAATTAAAGAAAAAAATAAAGCAATATTTGATAAACTCATATAATATAAACATATACATAATATATTAAATAAATAAATATACACAGAATAAATACATAAAATATTACTATATAAAACAATTAAATAAAATGACTGCAATAGAAGAGCAAGTAGTAATCTATAACTCAAACAGAGAATTTAATTTACAGGAAAAGCAGGGTGACATTTCAGAAGATGACACAGTTAGATTTAAGTCATATCTGATGAGTCTTGGCATTGATGATCCTGTCACTAGAGACACATTTAGATCTGATTCTGAATATTATATGGGGTTATCACAACAGATATCAGACATGATGGTAGCTGTATTAATGGTAACTAAATTTACATTATTGGTATACCTCAATCTACCACTTTTTATTATCAAAGATTTTTTATATTTATGGTGATATAAAAAATATTATGATGATATAAGTATCCCACTGTTAATAATATCTCTCTCTCTCTCTCTCTCTATAAAGTTACATTAAAAGAACAAAACACAGAAATGAGTAAAATATAATACCAGTTTCTAACATTTCTAAACAAATGGCAAACAAATTTATGGCACTTTAATATTGCATGCATAAGAATAATTAAAACATTATATGTTTCTACATCTTTTAAATACACTATTGGAACTTAACATAAAGAATGATGAAAAACGTCAGCAATAAAGAAGCAGATATGTATATACTATTTACCTGCAAAATTTTTTCATTGCATTAAGGCTGGCAGCACACCTACAATGCCGCTGGTGTTGTGGGTGATCATGGGCAGCAGTAGTCACTTACCATCAGGTGAGCCGCATGCTCGTGTGCCCCGTGTTGTGAAAAAAAAGTCTCAATAGTGTATTTAAATTATGTGTAAACAATATGAAAGTTTAAAATTAGCTATCATATGTTTCTGTCATTCTATTTAGTGCATACTACAATGAAAACATTTAGGGTTGATAGAATTGAACTAAAAAAGGAAATCAAAAAATAAAATTGTGCCTGGAAATAGAAAATACATCATCATTATCATTACATTGTTTGTGTTATATTTATTTTATTAATAAATGTATTATTAAATTTGCTCCGAAAATGTATCAATCTTGATTGTACTTATTATGATTTTAATCAACAGGACTGTGGTGGTATAATGTCTTTAGCAGATGTATGGTGCAGAGTCAACAGAGCCAGAGGTTTAGAACTAATATCACCAGAAGATCTTTTGAATGCTTGCAAGTAGGACATTAATACTGACTATAGTGTACATATTATATAAGACTCATAATCCAAAAATTTTATGTGCTTTATGATGACTGTGTTCCATCTGAGACTTTTATTTCTTTGGATTCCAAGTAATTTATTGAAAATTATCAGTATTAAATGTGCCCATTGTAGTCATTAATTGTAAAGTGCCGTGTGGTCCCGGCATACAATGAACCACCCCTTCCTATCTCTTGGGTGTCATAAAAGGTGACCAAGGGACATTAATGGTCGAAAGAAGGCAGCAGTGCCCCTCTTTAAACATCACCAAACCTCAACTGCGGTTGCCAACATGCCTATTAACAGTGTGGCGACTACTGACAAAACTCTCCATTATGGAGAAGCTCCATGTTTAGCAGTGGACAGTTAACACCTAATATAATAAAATCATAAATATCTATGATTATAATGATATCATTACTATTTGTATATTATTTGGGTTTATTGAAACCAGTTTATTAGTTGGATCTAATCAATGCATACTAAAGATAGTTGTTATCGAACCATTAGAGATATATTCGTTATTTAACAATATATATATATTATTTTCAGATTATTGCAAACAATTGGGGCGCCTATGTCAATGCGAAAATTTCCTAGTGGAGCATGTGTTTTACAATTAAACAGTCATAGAGATGAAGAGGTGGCGAAAGATACAAGCAGACTGGTAGGGCGAATTATATTTATATACATTTAGCAAAATTAGTTGACCGCATCTGAATAAAATCATTGTTCATTTCGTTTTCTTGAACGTTTTAACGACAAACAACCATTATTTGCGCTATAAACTATAATTTGCATCACCTATCATTAAAACAAGTTAATAGATGAAGAATGAAATAATATATTTTTTTAAATGTTAACATTGATGAAAAAGCATACGACCCGATTAATAGGCAAGTGTCATTTATCTACCTAGGGAATTGAATATGTATTTGTTTTAATAGCATTTTTTTGTTTTTTAGCTGGAAGAAAATGGTTTCCTAACACCAGTAAAACTGTCTCAAATAGCCAGTGTCTCTGTTCTACTAGCTCGGGAAAGACTATTTACCACTGAGCGCCTTGGTCTAGCATGTCGAGATGAATCTATTGAAGGACTAGCATTTTATCCAAATTTATTTTTAAAATCTGTATCATAGATATAGTTATTTATTTGTATCTTCAAAGACTATTTATATAAATAATAATAGAATAATTTAAGCTCAAAATGTGATTTATTTAGCAATGCTTCCATAATCGACAAAAGCTTTTAGCTGCAACTATATATATATATAGTGATTACTGATTAACAATATTTCATCAAAACCTTATAAAACCTTTCTCACAAAATATCAATGTAAATTATCTTCATAATTCATATCCATCATCCTTATTATTACTAAGATTACAAAACTAAGTGAAAAGCTAGATTAGCAAAGAGACAATCATACCATGATCTCTTAATTCATAGTATGGTCTGTCTATACCTATGCAATAGTAGGCACCATAAAAAATATTTTGGTACCATTTGGATATAAATTTTTCAAAGCAATCACAGATACAACAAACACACCAAAGCTGTGTTACATACATAGAGAAAATACAAATAATATTTTCTCCATGGTTAGACAATATGCACTTAACATTATATCTTATACAGAAAATTACTACACTCATTCAAATATGTTATGCTAACACATCAAAACAACATTTACCGACTGTGGCTTCAGTGCATATTGGCATTGGCCACATGTTGCTGTGTATGTATTAAGAGTGGTTCAAATCGTTCAAAATAATGTTATTTCTTACTTTAGTTATAATTCTAAATACAGTATTCATTAGTAGAAATACTGTAAGATGAAAAAAAATAAACTTTGATTTATATAGGCATTTAATCGTATTTCTTGGAAAATAGGAAACTACTGATGTTATCCCCAAAATAAATACGTTGTGATCTCCTGCCAATATAAATCAATATCTGTGTAATATAAAAACATTTAATTCTTTAATTTTTTTTTTTCTATTCTAATGAAATTAAAATAGAAATAATTTTTATTATAATTTTAGATTATTTGTATATTTAATTACTAATTTTATTAAAAAGATGCCTTAAAATTATTTTCTAATTTCTAATTGAAATAAGTAATAAAGAATAGATAATATATTGCCTTTTATATTATGCATTGGTATTTCAATAACATTACACACTAAGACTTTTACTGAATGCCTTGTAAAATAAATATACAGTATATGTAATGTTAACTCTACATCTACTATTAATGTTCGATATATTTTATCGAATGATATATCATTATAATTTTTTTTTTTTTGTAAATATATGGACAAAAATAGATATCAAAATGGAGAAGCAATTATATTAGTAAGTACATTCTTTTAATCTGAAATTAGATTTAGAAATAAGAAGCACTGAACAAAAGGAGCAAATAAAAAGAAATTCCTATATCTACGTTTTATTGTGGAATGTCTTATAAATAAATTTAATATTCGATTGCACTTTTGAAATCCTTTGGTAGTTGTTGATCTTTTCCACAAAGTTCCCAGGCCTTGAAGTCATCACAAGACCTTAGATTTTCTACATAATATTCTACTCCCCTTAAAAAAGGCAATGCCATTTCATCATTGATTATTTCGGATAGGCGATGTAGATATGATATATTTTTTGCAAGGGTTTCCTTTATCTTTACAGCTAATGGACGCTCAGTGCACTCGACTATGTCCAACTGTGAATAAGAATTTTTAAATACATTATTATAGTAATATACAACTAGTACAAGTTCCTTGTGCTTTCAACACTAATTGTTAACAAAAAGATATATCATGTGATCTTTTTAAGGAAATAATTGAAATTTAAAGGCACTTTGCTACTCTTTTTTGCAAATATATATAATGTAGACATGTGAATATTATTTCTTTACACATTACAAAACAGGATATTTATTATAATTATATTTTTATGAACTACTAATTTTATAAGCTGCTGTTGTGACATCCTGACAAAAATATAATTATGATAAGCAATCTAAAGTTAGAGATTTACATTTAATTGTTTGTATACCATTTTCCAGGACCCTATTAAATATATTAACAATTCTATACATTAAAAAATAAAAATTAAGTGATGCTTACTTTTTCCTGAACTGTGTTCATTTGTAGTCCAAGGTAAACATTCAAACATTCTGACAGAGTTCTGACTTTATTTGGCAAACAACCTTTTTTATTTTTTGTGATGATTAGGTCTCCCACCTGAAAAATAATAAAAAGTAAAATAAAAAGTATATAGTAAAAATAAAAAGTATGCTTATTCAAATCTAAGAGACAATCCTCCATATGAAATTCAAATGTTAGATCTTTCTTATTCCTTGATAAATGATGTGAAACAGGAATGAAAAAAATTATAATTTGTGCACATACTCATTAATACTATTTTTATTACTCTATTTACCATACTTTACAAGTTTTTTTTTTTTTATAAAAGCCTCTTTTATCATATTTTGTTCTAAGGAAGAATGGATAATTGTTACTCTTTTATGCAAAAACTACCAAAATGAATTTGAATAAAATTTGGTACATGAGTAAGTTATGTTCTAACTTAGCACATACTTTATGTAATGATTCACACCTGCGAAGCCACAGGATATAACTAATATTTCATTTAATACAATATATATCAAATCAAAAGTGTGTAATGTGTATTATTCCATATTAAAAAATATTAAAACTATATTTAGATATTAAATAAAACATAAATAATTACAAAAACTATATTAATATTTATAACTTTCACCAGAGGGAGACTGTACAAAAGTCGTTTGCTTGAGTGCTTCTGTCAATGAATCAATTGTGTTTGCATGGCTGTGTTTCTGTTTGAAGGGATGGGATATGGAAGTGAATTTAAAGGGCACAGAGGAATGACATCCAAGTCCTCAGGAATGGCAGCGCATGGGGGGTATTATGAGTGAAACAATATACTCTGTTATGTCCATGGTACTGCTCATGTCTATAGGTGATGGTTACCACTTTCCATCAGGTGGGCCATCAGCTTGTTTTACATTCTAAGTTGCACTAAAAAAAAGCCTACCCTAATGGACGACAGGCGTGACATGTATGTATGAATGTATTAAAAAAAAGTAGTTGCTAAATTGTCTTACCTGAGTATCAAATACTGACTTTAACTTAATATTATGCTTATGATATAAACAATCAGATATCTTACGACAGTCATGGACAATCTTTTTTGGTGAATCACTTTCTAAAAGTTTCTTTAGGCCAGCATCAAATGCATGATATTGCATTACTTTTGTATCAAATATATAGATCTGTTGTGGTGTAGCCATCACTACAAAAGGCATTTGCCACTTTCTACCCATGTTTGCACAGTCTGTACTGAGAGCAATATAATTATATTGATTCAAGTCATCAATTGCATCATGGAAAGCTCTATCCACTTGATTTATATATATGTATTTCTTCGAAATTTTAATAATATCTTCACATTCTTTCTGTGATATCTTTAAATGTTTCTGCTCATCAGTTTCTTGTAGCTTGATAATATCTCTTATTTCTGAATTATAATAATGACAGATACCTTCAGTGGGGTCGCTTTGCGGTAATTCTTTTACATTGTAGAGAGATATTTTAGACTTATCCAAATTCATTTCGTAAAAACGACCCTCAACAACTTCTAAATTTTTTGTGTGAACTTGTAGTAATTCACCCTTCATGTAAAGATTGTCCATTTTTTGTTGACTGATTTTAATCTTTCTTAACCGGTTTAGGTGGAGTTTTCTCGGCCTCGTTATACGCCCGGTAAATATATAAGCCTAGGGTGACGTGAAGCACAATCACCGCTATTACAGCAGAATAAACACTGCTCGTAATTGGTTCTAGTCGTAGTATTCCATCAAATAGCACTACTTTAACAGAGAAAAACGATAGGACAGGTACAATAATAATGACTAAACAATATTTTATTACCGTCCGAAAGACCTGAAAATCGGGTAGTTCCTGAAAGAGGTTAAATTACTTATTATTAACTCCAACACATCATATTAATTAAAATACTCTCACTAGACAGACACTAACATTTGCTCGGCCGTCAATCATCATAAAACAAAAAAATATATAAATTTAAATAAGTTTTAAAAGAAAACCAAAAAATTATCAATTATGATGGATTAATAAATAGAATCAATCTACAACATCACATGAAAATTGTATGAAAAAGAATGAATGAAACTTATGCTGTGATTATAGATTATATTAATACTACAGATTAAAACTATTAGGGCCACAGATACTATGTTGTATCTATAGTAAAATGAATTATATAGATATAGCATCGAATGTCACAAATATGTTAACATTAGTCAGTTAAATTGATATTGGGCTGATTCCAAATTGGTACATTTATATTCAAATCTAGATAAAAGACGCTATTTATTAAATCTATTTATTTAATGCTGCAATGATTCGTTTAAAAATTTTCTATTCTCAATAAAAAAATATTTTATTCTATTCCAAACTAAGTCGATTTTTTAAATTTGAATTGGTAACTGTTTATTTATTGGAAAACCAACATAAAAATTATTATTAATTAACTTATCCATATAAAAAGCCAATACTTGTCTTAGCGATATAAATTTGCTTGTGCGTGCGTGCGTGTGTGTGTGTGTGTGTGTGTGTGTGTGTGTGTGTGTGTGTGTGTGTGTGTGAGCATCTTTAAATGGATATACATATGTATATGTTTCAATGGAAATGACTAAATAAAATAGGTTTTAAGCTAGGTTTTAAAGAAATATTTCAGAGATTTTAATATAAGTTTGCTTTGGAGAGTATTTAAAGGGATCCATTTCTTTAAAAAACATTATAAATTGACATTTATACGTGTAAATATCGAGATTCTACCATCATTTGCATTAAAAAGGGTATTGAACGCAACACAACGGTGTTCAACGCACACGAAGGCAAAGAACATAGAATGTGATGGATTTAAGGATGAGTGGACTATCAATATTTCCTCTAACAATATCATACAGAAATGAGGCACCCAACAGCTTGCGGCATTGCCGTGTTGGTCCAAAATAAGAAATTTATAATTATAATAAGTCGCAGTTATAGACCTAACCGTGGTCAGTTGCCGGCTCGTTACATCCTGGGAAGTACCTAAAGCTTTTCCATTGGCTGTCGCGTGTGGTGTGATTAGCGCCGTTCGTATGCGCATGTACAGTATTGACTTTTTCCCTAAGGTTTGTCTGGCGCGACTGCGCCGCGCCCGTCGACTCCGTTTTCCTCCGAACGCGCATGCGTACATATACTTGTTTTTTGCGTTCTCTCCTGTCTAATAATACTTAAATAATTCATTCTTGTAATCGTGTACCTCAACATTATTCTTGTGTGTATGGCAATATATATTGACAACTACTTACGCCTTTTAAATTGCCCTACCGACTGACTTGCCCACTATATAATGTTTACAGTCTCCTTCGAAGGTCGGAAACCTATTTTTATGTTTAAAGTTAAGGTATTTGACAAAACGAGATTGCACCTGTTATATATATATTATATATTTATATAAAGATCGAATAGAAATATATAAAGATCTTTATATATATATTACCAAATGGTAAGGAGGTGACCATATACAACTTGAATATTCCAAAATGCTATGTACATAGGCAAAATATATAGCTTTTAAACTTGATTTGTGTTATCAAAATGTTCACAAACACGTTTTATAAAACCTAAGTGCTTAAATGCTTTAGTCACAGTAATAACTACTTCTTTTTTTTTTTTTGGTGGATGAAAATGGAATGGTAATCCCGCCTGCGCTAATGGATACGCTGGCGGAGCACCAGTGAAGGGTGATCGATGAGAATGAAAACAGGCCAGTTAGCCCATCATGATGAATTCATCAGGAATTAACCATGATAGTTTCCAGGGGGAACCACGAGGAGGTCGACCTGATTGGGTATATTGCTAGCAATGGGATTTCTAGTCTCCGTTACTAACAATCCCTTTCCCCCCAATAACTACATGTTTGTCCATTAAGAATTTGTCATCAAAATATACACCAAGATCACGTATAAGATTGACACAATGAATAGGGACATTACCTATGGTATAATTAAATACAACAGAAGTCTTACGTCTACTGAAACTAATAAGTTGACATTTGTTATGACTTGTAGTTATTTTATTTTTTTATAGAAATTACTTAGCGAAATCAGGTCATTTTGCAATTTATAGCAATCTGAGGTATTTTTTAATGACACGGAATTTTTTTTTATCATCAGCATATAATAAATGTTCAGAATCATTAACACATACGTAAATATCGTAAAGATAGGTATTGTAAAATAAGGATCCCAGATGTGATCCCTGAGGAACACCAGAAGGGGCATCAACAAAATCAGATCTAAAACCTCCTAATACAATTGCTTGATATCTATTAGAGAGATAGGAAAGTATCCAATGAAGAAGATCATTATGTATATCCAACTTATTCAATTTTTGTATAAGTATACTATGGTGTACGCGATCAAACGCCTTCTCAAAGTTAGTGTATACCACTTATCCTCCACTTTCCATATTTTTCAAAACATAGGATGAGAAAATAGCTAAGTTAGTTGTGATAGATCTAAACCTAAGAAAACTGTGTTGCTTATCAGTGATGTTGTGACTTACTGTGGGATAGATTACAGTATACACAATTTTTCAGCGATCTTATTAAAACCATTTAGAATGGATATAGGTCTGTAATTTTCTATTTTGATTTTGGAACCTTTGTTGTGAGGCTTTGCTTTATCCTTCAAAATGTGTATCAGCAGTTTATTATACCATATCAGATATTGAGTATTAATTTTATTACATATAGGAATATTTTCCTTTATATTTTTATAGATTATATTATAAAAAATTTGAGTAGACTCTTCAACTGTGATATTATTCAAAATACAATTTCAATCTTTTTTAAATAATGCTTTATAAAATTTTTCATAATCGCTTTTATAAAATTTATATTTAGATATGGAATTTTCTTTGAGAGATTTAAACACATCATCTATTAATCTATCTATACACAGCTATCAATCTCCAAAACTGGATGAAATGTATGTTCTCGTACTAGAGGACAATTGCACTTTTGCACTTCAAGGCAGAAATTGAAAAAAATGTTTCTTCTGATATTATGTATATACTGCATTTGCCCATATGGGCTCGCCACTCAAGAACCTTTCTTCTTCATCGGTTGTCCATTCTTTGAGCTATGTGACCAGCTCATTACGTTTCAGCTTACTTATTCTTCGGGTTATGTCGGTAACTTTGGTTCTTTTGCGAATATTCTCATTTTGGATTTTACTACGTAAAGAAACTTCGAGCATAGCCCTTTCCATAGCTCATTAAGTAATTTGAAGCTTTTGCATACAGGCAATTGTATAGGACTATGTTTTGTTTCCATAAATCATCACTAACACACATTGGTTAAATATCTTTGTCTTTATACTTTAAGTTATTCTGGATGAGATGTGAATTAATTATATTAATTTAATGGCTACGTTTATTTTCTTATCATTCATCATTTGTATACTTTTATACATTTTGAAAGGAAACCAGAACACAACAAAATATATAAATGTTTTAATGAGACGAAGATAGAATGATTAAAAATCTTTTTTTTTTTATTGTCGCTGTACTAGTATTGTTTTCCATAAAGAATATTTATACAAACATTTGGCACTGTTTAAATTATTTGTTAATATTTAATATTGGCACCTAAACGTGAATAGGATCTTTGTACAAAATTATGCTCATTATTGATAAAGCGGTTAAAGGTGTTTTGTATATTCATTATTTATTAATTAATATTTTAATATCGCGACTCACGAAAATCTCAAAAAGTTAAGTAAAAGGTCATGTAACCCCGTCAGTATTCAATTTTAATAATATTTTAATTGATAGTTTATTTATAAGTTTAATAACATAAAATAGTAATTAGTACCTAGTCCTTTTCTTTTATCCACTACTACCACATCCCAACCACTACATCACTATCTTAACAAAATGGTGATAACTCGAATTAATTGTTTAAGCTACGGTAAAAAAATCTGTCAAGGCCTTATAATTTTTCAACAGACTGCGATCCCCTTTAAAAAGAAATACGACCTCTGCAAGGTTGTGAAATACTGTTGTAGACTAATTTGTTCTTAGAGACTAATGCCATTTAAATTTAAAAGTACCTCCCTCTCAATACGCCTACCTTCAATATATTAGAGCTGAAACGAATATCCGGCAACTATCTGATCGGATATCTAATATTAAAAACTCTGTAATTATTTCCTAAAATCAACTTTCGTAAATCAATCTATCTACTAATATTATAATTGTAAAAGTTTGTAAACATATTTGAATGTTAGAAGAATTAGAGATACAACTATTATAAATAAAATTCATAAAAAATTAAATAGCAATAAAAGGTCAACTCCGAGATTGATTTATTTTATTTATATTTTTGACGTAAAATAGTTATTTTTCTTTAGCTGTGATTCATTTTGAAGGGTTACAAGATACGGAGGCATAACACCATAGACCTCAGGAAATGGAACCATAGTTATTACAGTGTTTTACTATAACGATTTGGTCATAGCAGACAGCATAAACATGTAACAGTTTCTACATACCTGCATACGCCAGTATGAATGAAAACGAATTATTAATGTCATGTTTATTTATTTATGTTCAATGATAACATGATCCTGGTATCGATACTCTACTTTTTGGTGCGCACTTTTACAGTTTCACAGTCTATGAACACGAAAGGGAGTAATACAATGCGTGATATAATCACCTATATTTGTTTACGAAATGCTTCAATATATTATATACATAAAATTGTTTAGTTTTGTATGTCCCACTACCTTTTGTTAACTAGTGAAGTGGGTGTAAAAAGTTTTTTTTTTCATAATATTGTTGATAGCTGAACATGTAAAACGTCATAGAATCTGATTACTTTGGATTAATAACAAAATGCTAAAATACGATATCCACTATGGATTTTTAATATCCTTAATAGTAAGTCTTAAAATGAGATTTGCTTCTTAATATTGTGTCTGCTATATTTATATTATTACCATTATTTAATTCGCGGTTACAGGCATTATATGGAAAAATTAATGGAACTTTTTTAGACTTAAATCAAGTGCAAAATACTATATCCCAATGGAAGAATCAAAATTTGTTAAATTTTACCGAGGTCTGGAATTTAAATGATTCGTTTTAATATTACTTAAATATTTAAAAAAACAGTAAATATCCAGTGAATTTGTTTCATAGGTTGGGGCTGCTTCAAATGGTGTTTTTGATTTTGGCGATATTAAAAATAAAATATTACAGTGGAAAAATCAAAAGATTGCAGCACTTTGTCCGTCTAATGGGTAAGTTTTTATTTGTAATTTTTATACTGTGTTAATGCATGTATATATTGTACTTTAATACTTTGTTTTATAGTAATTTGCAAATGCATACATATAATGACTGACTAAAATTTTCCTATTCTTCTACATACAGACTAGTCAATTTTAAATATTCTTTGTTTTAAAATTGAACTCACTTTTATCTATCTTTCGTTTAAACCCAGGTACATATATGTTTTTTTTTAATGATCAAGCTATTGAAATATCGAAACGTCAGGGTGCAGAGGTATAAAAACACTATAGATATCATAGTGTATTATGTGATGTTCATTCTGTTGTTCATATCTGTAGGAGAATTCCACTTTTATATTTTTAAATAAATCTCGAATATCAACTGTAGTAATGTGAGGCTATAACACAGTGTCACCTAGTTTTTATATTTGATTAGTCTTGTTAAGTAGTTACCCGATGAACTGACGGTATCCAGCATTTTATTTGAGAATGTAGTTTGAAGGTCGTATAGCAAGATAGGTACATGCTTGAAAGTTTATTTTTAAAAACATTTTTTAAACATTTTACCGAACAAGAATTTTGCGGGAGTCTAATAAAATAACCAACATTTTTTAAGTTAAATTTTAATTACAGACAAAAGTTGCAAAATCTACTTAACATTGTATGTAGTACAGCACAGCCTACTAATATTACAATAAGAGATGCTTGCGTTAACTGCTTCGCTTCGGTTACTTCAATGCCTGAGGTAAATAAATTTTGTGTTGTTGATCTTATTAAGTCTAGAATTTATCGCAAAGAGTATGTCTTTGATTTTTGTATCTATCTTTACTATATTTTTAAGCTATAAATAGGTAGGTATAACATATTTTAGATTTTCTGCCGAGGTTTATCATAAATATCTAATATAGCATGGGATTCCTTAAAAATTACTACAGTGTTCGTTTGGCAGCTTTGATTTTATTTTGATTTTACCTTATAATTACAAAATTTTATTTATTTAGGGACCTCAAGAATTAACAGCATTAGGTGCCTGTGCAACACAATATTTTGAAGACACTTCATATGCTAGTTGTGCCACAGCTCTAGTGGTAAGTTACAAAATGGTTTAACGGTCTATATTAATAATCTATACACCAGTATAATTTTAATCCTGTGTTGTTAAAAGTAACAAATAACTAAAATGGTAACGTTTTTATTAGGCTTTATCGACCTCAGCACTGAATGTCCAACCATCTGGATGTTTTATGGGATATTGCGACTTTGTGCGTTGTCTACGAAGGATCAATTCGATGAATTTGGTATTTATAACATCTTTTTTTTTATTATTTAATATAATAAAATTGCTACTGTACTTTATACTACTAAACTTTTTCACACTTGAATTTTCTAATTGTCATTGTATATTATTATGTTTATGGTGCAATAAAGTATTAAATAAATAAAATTGTAGCTGGATGATGTTTGTACATGGGCGATATTTAAGAAAAAAAATCTGAGGATTCTTAATAATACCAATAGATGCCAAAACTATAATTTTTAATAATTTTGTCTGTTAAACTAAACTGGACGGTATTTTTACAGTTGTATTCCATAAGAACAATTGGTCCATTTTATTGATTTTCCTTTCATAGACAAAAATTTTGTGACTGATAATATAATTATTTACATTAATTTTATATTAAATTGGTCTAAATTCGTAATAAAATTTAGTCATAAATTTATCTGTAGCATTTCAACGAGAAGCATGATTGTTATGACCATGCATCCATGTTCGCCGTATTTATATGAACATTGATAAAAGCCAGAACACATTCATTACTTGTGAGAAAAATAATAATAATCATTTTTTGTATTGCAGATTATTCAATGTACAAGAGAAGCAAGAACGGGGGTAAATATTATGTTAGATAATGATAACGTCCGTTTTTTTACAAATGTAACGTCGTGTATTTTGGCTAAAACTCGATGCGGAATATTTAATCCTATTACCGGTGAACCTCAAGTTCCTGGGTCCTCATCTTCTGGAGCAAGAATAAGTAATGCTTTGCAATTTTCTGAATCCGGGGAACTGAGAATTCTTGCATTTTCAGCTAACACGCCTGTCCTAAATTCATTTTGTTCTAGTTCTTCTAATTTAACGCAAACTAGTTGGCTTACCAATGAATGCTAATATATTAAAGATGTTTGTAGACGATTATATTATTTTCTTATTATGTATTTACGCTATTTTAACTACCACCTTGTTTGTGCACCCATTTATGCGGTGAAACAACAGTTGTAAGTCTAGTTAAAATATGTCAAAGCTTTTATGCCTAAAAACCAAATACTGATGCTTGTGTCCATAGACGAATTAAATAGATATAGAGGTGTTAAACTAGCCTTAGGAAGTACGTATATTGAATAACATGTAGGTAGTAACATCGGTGTGTAGACGACGGACTAACTGACCTGTCTTTTTATTTTCACCTATTATCCCTCGCTTGTGTCCCACCAGCGTATACCGTTAGCGCAGACGATGTAATCATTCCATTATCATCCATTAAAAAAAAATATTGATGTGTTATTGGAATATGATCTTCGTTCGTGGTGATCTTATGAATGCCTACTTGTATCAAATCAATGCAAGTAATACGATCGTCCGTTGAGTGTGGCGCATCATATAAAAAAGTGCAATTATTGACGTTTTTAAGATAATATTTCATTAGGTAGTTCATCCTAGAGCTTAGTAATATTATGTTGATGTTATATCTGATCTTCCTAGTAGTGCGACTGGGAGTAGTAAAATGTAGGCAATTTGATGTATGGAAGTTATGTTGTCGAAACTGTATGTCGAAAAACAACATAATGTGGTGCTTTTTTATAATGGGTGATAATGAGTGTTAACCCTGTCATTAATATGCACTAGTGGGGTATTAGTGAATGATGATAAGTAGGGATGAAGTCAGGTCACCTGGTTCATCGTGACGAATTTATAGGAAATTATTCATAATGGTTATTAGGAGGATCGCTTGGAGGGCGACCTGATAGAGTATATTGTTAGCAATGGCTCCATTACTAACAATCTCTTATTCTTCTACTAATGTAATGCTAGCTAGTTTGAGTTCCGCGGTTTTACGTAGGTAAAATAAGGAATTTTCGATTATAAGGCGTGAAATATATACGGAAAGTCTTAAAGTTAGTGTGAAGCGCCCTTTATGTCTTATTCTATTTCTCATAGATTAAGAATAGTATTTGCAGTTTCCTTCCAAATTTTTTTTAGTCAATCATCTGACAATGTCTATTTGATGGTCAGCCAAATTACCGTGACAGTGACAGTAGTATCTTCAATTTAATGACTGTTATATCAAATATAAAATTGTCAAAAAGTTTAAATAAACTTTAAACTCTGTCTATTTGTTTGGATTGAACCAGTGATAAGATATTATAATTCTATTGCAAATAATCCAATGTCTCTAATTAAATGTGCACCTTGACTGTAATAACTATACACAAACAATATGAAATATCACAGCGACAGTAAATTTAAGTAATCGAAGTTTACCTATTTATTGCAGATAGAACCTATAAGTTATTCTAGTGTAATTTGTAAGAAACCACGGAAATCGATATCATTTAAGATTGACCACATAAAATATTGTTTGGATCATAAAAAAGGTATTTATGTTTTATACAAGTAGTTTAATATACATTGTACTTATTCCTGAAGCTTTGTGTAACTTTTTAAGCAGTAATAATATTAAATGATATGTAATTTTGTTTTTATAAGTTTATCTGTCTTCTTATATAACATGAACAATTCAAATAGCATTGGAAGTTTCATTTAGTTAACTAAATGAAACTTCCAATGCTATTTGAATTTTACCCTGTGCCTATCCTCTTACTATCACTTTTGTGACTAATTGTGTGTGTTCATAATTTTGAGTGAGTCATTTATGTTAAAAAGTGTGTAGTTAAGCTGCTGCCATCAAAAACAAATTTCCTAAAATTAGATTTTTAATTTTGTACTCTCTTTTCATTTAAGTTTCTTGTACTACTAGTTATAAATAATTATATGGAGTTTTGTGTAATAAAAATCTTATAGTTACTCACTAAGTAAAAGATACTAGTTTCAGCAGTACATAAAACACTTTTAAGGTATTCTTTTATTTTAGTGCGCAATAAAGAGTTACTATTATTATTTATTCTATTTGAATTTGATTTTTACGAATTCAACAACAAATCAATATGGAGTTGGTAATGTTTGAAACTTTTTTATCACAGTTAAATGTTTTAGATTTGTAATGTGATATCATAACAAAACTGGACTGGCAGAATGTATTAAGCATCATTTAGCCAATTATACAGGAGAGCAAAAACAGAATGAAAAGGCAAAATGAATGATAATACTTATGTAGTAAAGTAAATATCTGATATGGTAACAGTTTATTTTAAATTTTTGCATTTGTATATATGCAATATTTTATACTAATAAAAATAGAAAATAAACAGAAAAATAACAATAAAAAATTGTAGTGCATAAACTAAAGAAATTTGTGGTTGGCCATTTTATAACTTGGTTAAATTCTACCAATTGCTCTGAATAATTTATTTAATATAGAAAACAAAGATTCAGATATAAAATAAGTAATATAGGTTTAATGTGGAGGCCAAAGTGGAGCTTTATCCATTTTGCCTTCTTTCCATCACCTCAACGCTTCCAGTGTTGGGTCTAGATTGAAGGGTTGAGGAGTGGAGGAATGTAGTAGTTACTTTATATCCTTATATTATCAAGGTACCTAGGGTGGTAAGGTCTAATATTTTCCAGTGACTAATATTACTAATTGCAGCTGTTCATAGGCCATGGAGACTGTTTATCATCAGGTTGAACATATGCTTGTTTGCCACCTCATTGGTATAAAAAAGAAGTTATGAGTATAATAATAGACACTATTATGTAAATATTTGTCTTTTATTCTATTTCTAGATATTACATGTAAGTGTATAAAATTTTTTGTGTGGTTATTGATACTTTTAAATTATAAACTGTCACATAATTACAATTAAGAACATAATAATTGATTCTCTTTGTAATTTTTTGTTCAATATGTTCTCATTTGTTATTAAGAACTATTTTTGCTAAAAAACCAAAAAAGGAATTGGGTATATTAAATTAGAACTATCAACCAGTTTGCTAGTAATTTTCGTTTTATTTATTCACCCATAAACATAACAGGCTAATCATTAAAACCATACCACCCTGTCTTTTGTAATATACAAACATTGGAGAGAAAATCTGAAAACATATTCTTTCATTAGGGGTAGCAAATTATAATATCTTTTTATTTAATTAAAATAATTGAAACTATGTATTATAAATAAACAATTTCATGAAGCAATTTAATTATACATTTTGTTTTATGTGATAATAATAATAATAATTATACAGTGTGATAATGTATTAATGTAATCTTTGTCGTTTTCTTCATATAAGGAATTAAAAGACAGGTTAATTTTTTGATTTATTTTCTGATATAGATTTTTTCAACTTTGGTTTGTTGTCTTTGGATTTCTTTATTACTTTTTTTGTGGACTGACATGAGTCATCTGAATCAGAATGATCTGATGCTATTGTAATGTTATTCTTATTGCTTGATTTTTTGGTTTGTATGGCAGTTGTTACATAGGCACTTTTTCTAAATCTAGTTTTTGCTTGTTTATTTTCATTAACGATTGATTTTTGTACTGACTGCTGTGTATTTCGAGGTATGTCAGTAAAGCTAGTGTTACTGACATATGGTGAACATTCAGATTTTGCATGTTTTAACCTGAAAATAAAATTGCAGAAGAATTAAAAAGTTCAATGATAATAACATAATAATCCATTCCTAAGTATATACTAGTACTAATAAAAAATACCTACAATATTAGCTGCTTTTATAATATTTATAATTTCATATATAGGAGGGCATAACATAATATGGTGGAGCATTGCACTATTTAACCAATTTCATTATCATTGATAAAATGTATATATTTTATCAATGATAATATATAAGAGCAAAATGTATACATTTTTTACCACAGTATGATGTTATTGTGTATAAAAAAATAATACTTCTACAACATTGTTGATGAAATTTTTTAAGTATATTCTCAGTCTCAATGTAAAAATCACATGTCATGATTATCATACATGCTAATTTTTGAAATTATACAATAGACTTTTATTTAAGTTTTTGTACAGTTTAGTTTTTAAGATAGTACAGTTTTTATCTTATTAAGAAAAAATGGACTCTACAGGTGGGGGTAGAGGTACAACAATCTTTGCTGGGCAGCTTTACTTCTTTAGTCAGCTTTACTTTGTTTATTACTTTCTTAGAGAAATACCTAATACTTAGAAATAATAAATATATACTTACTTTCCTTTTTTCTTACAGGATTTTGGCAATTTATTTGTGGGTTCTAATATATCTTCTCCAGAATTGGTAACTTTTACACTGATTTTTTTGCTTTTAGTCTTCTTTTTTTTCTTTTCATCTGCACATTTTTTTCTTTCTCCTTCTAGTTCTTCTAATTTTTTAGAACACGACCTGTTTAATAATGTTTTAATTTTATAATCCTCTTTATACATTACAAATTTACAGTAATGTTAAATCTATTCTTTCGAAATTGAAATAAAATTTTATTCATCCAAACATTCCAAAACAAAGTGTTAACTACTAGTTCGAGCTTACCTTAATAAGGCTTCACTATCTGTAAAATATGAGTTCATAGCAAAACTGGATATGCCCCAAGATAATGGTCCTTTGTCCTCTCCATGCACTCCAGTCCAAACATTTCTTTTAAGTGAGCTTAATTTCACTTGAAGCTCTGATGGTTGTGTTTGTGTATTTTTGTTCTTAATATCTGAGAGGCATCTTTAACACAACACAACAAAATAATACATAACTATCTAATACAATAGTTTTATTTAAAAATAATAAATAAAAAAAAATACGAGTTATCCTTACTTATTTTGAAGTTATCCTCAAAACACGAACGTAATTTGTAAAACCGTCTAAATTTCCTTTCTCATGATTAATTTCATACCTGCTTCTTACATGAAATGATATTAATATTGGCCGTCAAAATTTGGCATACATCTGATATCTGGTATGGAGGTTCATTTTTATGTCATTTAATTAAGTCTGTCGGGCGAATGCCGTCACAGATATAGCTAGGTTTTGGTATAATTTTCAGCTGACTTAAAAATGGAGGAGGTTCTTAATTCGGTTGTATTTTTTATGTTTGTTACCTTAGAATTTTATTATTTATAAATCGATTTGACATTTTTTTTTTATTTAAAAGGATATACTTTCAGATTGGTTTCATAGAAATTTTATCAAAATCTGTTAAGGAATTTAGTTTATAAAATCCGATTTTGCCACAATTGAAGTTAGTGTTTTTTTTTGGACAAAATAATTTATTTATAAAACGTGTTAGAAGGTTCACGTGATGGTAGGTGGTAATCATCACCTGTGCACATTGACGTTTATAATAGACACCAGACAATGCACTGTGATGTTTATGCATTGCCATTCCTGAGGATTATGGTGTTATGTCACCGTAATTTCACTAGTATATGTAAACTTTCAAAGCAAAACACAGTAGTGTAACAAGGTAATACTTATAGTATTTCTGTAAATTTTCATGTGATTAATTAATTATATTTAAAATTTAATCTTACTTTGGAGGCGGTAAACATCGAAATTGGTGCCATGAAGCTGGGTTCAATTTCGATTTTTCAATTGATTCATTAAACATTGAAACGCTTCGAGGTCTGCCACACTTCTGAATTTTCTTCTCACGGTCGGAGTGGTATGGCGAGTCGCTTGTCTGTGGCAATAAAATAATAATAATTTCATAATAAGTAACATTTATCCTCTCTGATTATGCCTTCAACTATTGAATTTCTTTACCTTTCAAGAAAAAAATTAACTCGAATCTGTTTAGTAATTACCAAAATACTAGGTGGAAAATTATAAAAGCATTGTGTGTGCTCTATGAACAAACGGACGTGAAAAATAATTCCTGACTGTGAGATAAGTCATTTTTCCAATAAAACATTAGGTTACACTTCGTGCCAAACATCCTGTCAGACATAATCTTAAAAAAATTATCATCTTATAAAATATATCAGATACACATTAATTTTATTTCTCAACTTATAATAGGAATGTTACCGGTGCTGGTATTATTTTAAGTTCTGGAGGCATCTTTTTCTTTCTTCGCGGCTTTGATTTTGTAGAAGAATGTAGGAACTTATGAACTCTCCTAACCGGACTAAGACTCTCTTCATATGATTCATCAGATGAAGCATCTGTCATTGCATCTGATGTCAGATCTATTGTTGCTCTCGATACCTTGAATTATATTTACGGAATTATTTGATTACATTAAAAATATTATTAAAAATATTTTAAAAATTGTTTAATTATCTATATATTGTGATGATAATACAAAAATAAGTTTATGAGGAGTGTAACCTGACTTATTTTCTGACATAATTAATACAGGAATACTGCAAAAAAAATATTAAACTATGTTAAAAATTAGTAAAGGTATTGCGTAATATAAAAATACTAGTACATTTTTCCTATGTACTTGTATCGATCCATGTTACTGCTACATGTAAAATTTATAGATAATTAAACTTCAGAAATAATTCGTATACCTGTAAAGTCTCACGCTTTGTTTTCTTTTTTTCAATTCTTTTCATTTTTTCCAATTTGGGGCGCTGTTTTCTTGGTTTCTGAAAGGAAGGTAGGAAAACTATAGTAATTATTCTGAGTATTTGGAGGATTTAATAAAATAAAAAACTTGCTTCTGTTATATTCCTATTTATATCTGGAAACATTGGTGAAGGAGGTGGTGCTGGTTGCGTTATCATTTCTTTACAAGTTCCCGCTTCAGAACTACTGCTAGAAGTATCTCCCTCATCACTGTAATATAAAGCAATAAATTTAATATTTATTATATATTAATATAAATTGGAAATAATTTTATTGGAAGCATGCTAACCTCGAATAGTCTGAAAGATCAATGTTTGTAGGCTCATCTGCATTTGACCCCTCTTTTAGAAGCCGTGTCACAATTTTTGTTCGCAGTCTTTCTTTGCTAGGGTCTTCGTCATAGAAATCTAATAATGTTTCACAAAACGTTCGTCCCAAACTTTCATAATCTTGAACTGAGAAATGTGTTGACATCCTACTTCCTAATTCAGACCCACCAAAAGAAGCTTCCATCGTGTAACTATTTGCTACCCCCAACATCCAAACTACCACTCGACCAGTACCTTCTTTACTGCGTTGTATTCGAAATTTACAATTTTCAAATGAAAACTGCAAAAAAAAAAAATACACTTCTGTTTCAGAATTTATAACACGTTATTAATTTATTTTTTTCTTATCATTAACATTAAATACCTTGTCTGCTGCATTTTTATGCAACATCAATGGAAAAACTTGTTCTTGTAATCTTTTGTCAGAATTTCTACGGCTTTCACACCCGTAAATAAAAACATTGTGTTTTCGAGAGTGTGCGTGTAAATCTATGTACATTGCAACCCCACATTCTTCCTGTAATCTAATTAGACACTAATTTTAGTTTTTAATGTTATTATTATTAAAATAATAATAATAATACAGTGTGACAATGTATTAACACAATCTTCGCCGTTTACCTTCTAATCATCACTTTAGTATGCCATACAGAAGGATAAGTTTCTCTTATGACTGTTCGATACTGTCTATTTAGGTCCTTTCCGGTCAATGAGCAACGATTGTTGCCTACAATTACCTGTAGTAAAAGCGGAAACATTTAATGTTAAATGTACATTATGTATTATATGAATAATATCTAGTTCACCACTTACACCATCCGGGTTTAACATAGGCACCAATTTAAATATAAATTTCTCTCGCAATTCGCGGGCTTGATTGGAATCCCCGGTTAAATAATCCATAAATCCTTTCATCATCCATGATGACGGAGTTTCTCCTGGGTGTACTCTTGCCGTTATTATGACAGCTTTCTTTTTCTAAATAATTAACGTAATATATTGTAAAAAGAATTTAGTATAAATAAATTTTATTATAAGTAAAATTAAGTAAATTATAAAGATTAGATTCACCTTCTGTTCCAACTCATTTGTGCTCGGGGGAGCGGTGATGGTTAAGTAATAAACATTATTACCGGCTAATGTTCTGCAGAGTAGTCGTAGTTTTGAATAAGTTGATTTGATTGGGTGTGCTTGAAGCCTTGAAAGGTATTCTTGTAAATCTGAGTATGTATATGGATAACAATGAGCAATATATACCGCATCATCAGTATGGGGAAATTCTATGTTAAAAGTTAATGTATAGCTGGGAAATTGTTCTTCCTCTTCCGATCTGTAATATATATTTTATTAATTGTTTGTGTATACGTACGTACTTATAGTGTATTGATTATGTAAATAATATCTTACGTGGAATCATTTTTGTAATATGCAATATTATCACCACATCGTCTCCAGCCAATCGAATGTAATTGTGCATCTTTTGTTGAATATAATAAAGGTCTCATGCCTTCATTATATAAACTTTCTGCTTTTGATAAATTTACTATTGAGAATCTGAAAAGTGTGTTAGTATTACTATTGATTTTTTATAAAATAATTTATAAGTTATGTTTATTGTTAAAGTATTTACCGATACATCATTTGTTTTTTTGTATTAGTAACCTTGAAGTAAAACCACTGCATGTGTCTATTGGTATAAAGGTCTGTTCGAAGATGTAGTTCGTAATACTCTGATGTGATGCGTATTGCTTTTGCTAGGTTACCACTCTCAAATCGAGATTCAAATCTTAATTCATCGTCTCCACTAGCAGTCGCACATGCCGACAAATACAGCCGAGAACCGCCCACAGTGGAACGACTGAACTAAAAAATATCTAAATATTAACTTTAAAATGACATCACTTATCTATTATGTGTAATAGATTATATTTTGTGTTAACTCACATAATTCACAGCGCTCATCGGATAATATTGAAAGATGACCGTTCCCGCATCTTCACCTACTGGTTGAGGTCTCAACTCCTTCCCAGTCGGTGTGTAGTAGGCCTCTGGTGTTGCAGGACTCCATATTGTATGTTGTATTCTTTCTTCAACCACCTTATGCAAGTTTAATGTAGATATTTAAAAATATCCATTATTTTTTACGTACGAGTACGTAAATTGTCTCTTAATGTCATATTATTAATTTTCTGGAAATTTATTCGGTAATTTAACCTTAAAAATGTAACAAACTAATAGACATACTGTGTTGTATGACTTAAACTGCCTTCAATTCCATTATAGTGATAACATATCTGCCGATAGACACGTTGTCACTGGCCTAGCTTAATTGGTGATTCATTAGCTATATAGCCCAAAGAACCGACATTCAATGGAAAAGGTGGGTTTTTGAGTGGTGACCTTTTAGTGACTATTAGATGGATCAACATCTTTCAATGTCTTGTGGGAAGACAGTGGATGCTGTTAATTCAGGACACTTTCTTATGGTGATCTAGGAGCAGGCTTGTATTCAGCAGTAAACAATTAACGGTAAAAATGATGATCATGAAGTTTAAAATAATTATCTACTACATACTTGACATTCAGATGGCCAACGTGGTGCTTGTTGCGGACAATCAAGTTCTTTTGGTAGCGCAAATAAGTCTCGTGGTTCTCTGAGTTTCGCAGTAGTTCGAAATGTTCTAACATCCGTATTAATTTCGAGTTGATTAGTTTTGATGTTGTTTTGAAGAAAGTTTGATATGAATGTTCCTGTATTAAAGAATTATTTTTTTTTATAAATGGTAGTATTATTATGCGTAGATTAATTTGTGTATGCTTTTTATGTGGACATTACGTGATACCTTTGTTAATTCCGAACCGATTTTGATATAATTTGTTATCAACACGGTTTACTTCCGTGGTTGTCTCATTATATTTTTTTCTCGATGGAAGTAAATTTTTTAGAGTGAAGAATTAAATTATTGTTTTTGAATGATCTTACATTGACCTACTTGTGTAGGAAACTTCAGAAATACAATTTCGTTTTTGGAAACCTTGAATTAAAGATTATTGACAAGCACGCGAAGTTTGTTGGTTGGTACCTTATATATCGATATATATCGATACGAATCCATTCTTGGTATTAGTCGTCGTAACATATGAAACTGTAATTGTTTACACCTATTAAAGTATTCGTTTCTTCAAGGACAATGTCTATTTATGGAAAATACAATGAAAAAAAATATTCAATTTTACCTCTATTATATATTGGAAACAAAGAAGCCTGCAATGTCTTTACATGTTCTAAATTAGCTATCAGTAAATTATCATGTAACACCGGATCTATAGTGGGCAGTGTCAATGTTACTGTTGTATTGTCGATGAATTCCCTTTTCCTTTCTTCTTCCCTTTCAATCATTATAACGTTTTCTTGAACGCTTTCTAGTTGTTTCCACCATAACATTTTAGAGCTATTTTCTATATGGCATTCGTATTTAATTTCCTGCATAATTTAGTCCGCTTGTATCGTTCTATCTAGCGTTTGTGATGCTAACTTTGTTGTCACCATGACTACAAAATTGTTTAGGATATCGTTTGGCAGTGTACCGTTAAACTGGCGGGCCGCCCGGCGCCCCAAAATGAACTGGCGAAAAGGCTTAATACATTCACAGTTATTGAAAGACGATTGTGTGATGCTTCTATCGAGCTTTACCAGGTGATTGATGACGTCAGCGGGGTACTCGTACGAAATATGGAAATTTGGTAGTCGTAAACGTAGACTTGAGAGTGATATTACTTCTATATCAAATTCGCAGTAGTCACGCCATGTACTCTTACTATTTCGCGAAATAAAACTTTTAGATCATAAACAAACTTATTTTACTTACAATGAAGTAAATATCGGGACATTTATAGTAAAGTAAATAAATATTGTTTTTATCAGTAAATTACTACATACCTTTAGGTTCATCCGTTAGTTCATTACTATCATTTTCAGCACTCATTTCTTCCTGTTTATTTTGTGACATTGTATATTTATTTAACGGTTTTAGTAAATTTTACTTTTTCACAAGGTATAGTAATTTTTACAAACATTAAGTACAATGTATTATTAATAAAAATATCATAAATGTTCGAAACTTTAATCATAAGCTTTTTAAAGTTCCCTTTGTGTCAATTCAGTACGTTTAGACTAGACTAGTCTGCTCGCCGGCGGGCTGTAGTGCTGTATGTCGTCTGGGTCATGGAAAATATCGTTATCATCATATAAGTACCTGTCTCATTTGCATGAAAATATGTACATTATGCAAGCAGTTAAGTTATATTTTACTCACGTTAGCATGGTTTATATTTAAAACGAATTATAACATTTCATATTTATTGTCTCATTGATAATTAATAGTTTTTCTCTTATTGGCAATAACATTACATGATAATAATGCAATTTAATATTACTTATGTATGTTTTTATTGAGTCAGAATGAGAGTAATTACAAGATTAATATTTTTAAAAACTAGGTTTTAATTATTTGGGAGAAAAAGGCAAGTAAATGTCTATGATTTTATGAAATCACTGTCTAGGTAACACGATAGTTCCGAGAAAGTCTGAAAGGTGACTGCACTTTCGCCTAGTATGAGAAAACTTGTGGGGGAGTGTAGAAAGTTCCATACTAAACTGAAACCATTCGTGGTCGTAAAAGTTTAATCTCTTCATAGAACTATTAACGTGTAGATTCTTTGATAAACCAAAACTTTTTGGCGTTAATCATTGTAATTAATCATTCTATACAAACTTATAAGTAAAATAAATTAATTATGATTTTTTTTTATTATTAAGTATTTTTTATCAAGTTAGTTGCCTCTATTTTTTTATATCTATATATTTATTATTATTATATTTATTGTGATATCTTCATTAATTTCCAACCGTTTTTCATAATTATTTTATTATAGCTGTTTTTTATGGATCAAAATCTTAATCTGTATTTGTTAATGCATTTTTGTTAATGCAAGAGAGAAATATAATATGCTAGAATTTATACGTTTCAAATTTTTTTTTATATTGGTACTGAAAAGTAGTAGTAACATTATTTTGTACTGGGGGGGTCTGTACTGTATCGTTGTCTATGGTACGTCCATTAATCAAACGGAAATTACATATATACGTCTGCAATAAAGTGATTATTCGTATAGTTATCATGTGGAGAAATTGCTTTATACATACAGAGATTACAATAATTTCGTTATTTCTATTATTTGTTAAATAGTAGATATGTTTTCGATTGGTGGATAATATTTATAAATATTATTGTTCAATATTCATATTAGAATAGCCAGATCAAGTAGTGAACACTTAGACTTGGTTATAATTATAGTTGAAAATGATTAAATGCTGCGTATTTAGATATGTTGCGGATAGTATTATATTTATGTTCTACAACTCGTCCAACTCCTAGTAATTAAATCCATTTTTTTTTAAGTTTGGAAAGAATGATTACTAAAGAAACAATATATAATTTAGTATATAATATAAATAGTAATAAAGAAAAACATAAAGTTGTATGTACTGAATAAAAAGTGAAAACTGTCATTACGGCTCAAGATTCTAATACACATGAACAATTGTAAAGTATTTATACTTATCACAAAATATGACTGCATGCTATTTGTTACTTTATTGTTTAAGCATAAAGAATGCAGAAATAGTATTATAGAACAGTGTGTACAGTAGATGTTTAAAGGTTGCTACGGCAACAGTTAAATCGATGCCGTAGTTAACAGTCGCCAATGTATTCGAATTAGAGGGACTCGATTATTCTCCATAGTATTTCTTTCGTCATCTGTTAAAGGTACCTAGTTTGATTAATCCTTTATTAATAACCACGCATAAAATCTTTTTTGTCATAACGCTTTTTATTTTTATCAATATTTTTACCTAACCACGGTAATACAAAGCATTTCCGTTTTCTATATGCATAACCATACTACATAACCATGAAATACTTTTTTCAGATTGATTTATTATTTTTATTTATATTATCAACAACAAGAAACAAAATATATTTTATTTTATTGTATGTTTTGTTTCATTTCTACATTTGTTGTTATGTAAAATTTTATACAACATCAAATGGCATAATTTTTCCATTTTTAGGCAACTTAAAAAAACGATCTTCTGAAATTGAGTTTTATTCTGTTACGTGATATATTTGTCAATTGTAAACCGATTTTGCTGATTTTTCTTGCATTCAATAAGGTTTATTGTTTTATTGGTTAATTTTATTACCATTGAAGTTGAACAAAATTTAAAATATTGATTATCAAAGAGTATCACGAATATCTTTTAAATATCGATCATGAGTGCTATACATGCTTTAAACGGTATTTATGATATTAGACCTGGGGGCCTACCATCAGATGAAATTCCGAATTTTCGGGCTCAATTTCGTGTTTTTGTTTGTACTTAAATCGACTAAAATATAATAAATCCTAACCTAACAGTCCAGAGGAACGATATTTTAATATTTTTAATAATTTAAAGCGGCATGTATTAGGTATGTAAATTTAACATCAAATTTCTGTTTTGTTCATTCTCGAAATTTCGGAAAATATTTCATGGTATTCCCTCTGGTTAGTATGAGTGTACAGATTTCGTCGAGTCAAGTCGATCTACTAATTCTTTATTCAACATTTATTTACCATTAATCTCAGAGCTTCAGTCAGAGAAAACATGCGATTATTATAATTATGCAATGGATAGAGAAGGTGAACTGTTTTCCATTCCGTTTCATTCAGTCCTCGTCATTGCGAAAAACCCTGTATATGCGTGAACTACCTACAGACTAGGTAAGGTTTGTGAGGTTATTGGCCGTGTCTTGGTACCTACTGGTGCGGATCGATTTCAACCAGACATCTATTCTTATTGTGTCTTGTCACTCATCAGTGGACTTTTGTAGTCCATTTAGGTATGTAACTGGGCCCTGCGTCTGAAGCAATACGCTTGAGAATTTTTTTAATCGTTATTTTGTGAACAATTTATTAACAACACTTATAAAACCATTTAAATGTATCACATTATCTAATGATTTTTATATTTAGAGTTTACACTTTAATGTAGGCGTTTCTCAGGTTTCAATTATTGGTGCTTTATTTAGAACTTTGTATTTAATATTTATTCACATTATCCATATGAAATGTACGCATCGAAAATTATATGATAAGTAAAAATATATGATAAGTTAATGTGCCTTTATCGGTCTCTAAAACTTTAATACTATTTTTTTGTAATAAAAAAATTCTTTGTTGTGACGAAAATTGTAAAAGCACGCATTGTACTACTTTCTATTTGGTGTTTATAAACAATTTAATCTATTTGTAGGTGAAAAATCGAACATAATAGGTGATAATGATTAAAATTAACAAAATATAAGTAGGTAATCCTAGTATAGAATGGGCCTTCCTTTTCTTTCCTGTGGGTGTCGTAAGAGGATACTAAGGGAATTTAATGATCAAGAGATGGGCAGCAGCATCCCACATAAAACATCGCCAAAGCCTTACAGTGGTTGCCAATCCGTCAGCGTAGCAACTACTGACAAAACCCTCCACGGGAGAGGTCTATGTTCAGCTGTGGACAGTTAACGATTGATACGATGCACAAGATACAAAAATTACCTAGGTGCTTAGAAGTACGTCTTTTTTTAAATGCGAGGAAATCTTCAAAAAGTGAAGAATCCTAAAATATTCCTTTGTACCTTTGAAACTAGTGAGTACTTTAGCATTCTTCTCAATAAAACTCCACGGTATTCTCTTTCTTGTTGGTTATGTGTCAGTTAAAAATTATTACATTCTTACCCAACTCTGGCATCATGCTTTTTACTTACCCGTTATAAAAATATTTTGATATATTTCACGCGTAGGCATGTGATATCAAGTAGATATTGTTACCTGAATATTTTTGTAACAAATTAGGTGGATGGGCGTATGGTGATAACAAATCTATAATTAATTTCCTGTAGATTAATGTCACTGCAATTAGGATTTACAAAATGTTTCAATGGAGAATGGGGCCTATTCTGAGGTGCTATTTCTCTAAACCGAGATAGGTTTTAATCTTTTAATTTGATAGATTCGCGAAATTACTGTTTTATGGATCATCTTAATAATTTTGAATCTTAAATCTATTAATATGCATGTATATTATTGCAATAAAGATTTCGCTGTGACATCAAAATGAAGTTTTAATTTTAGAAACGGATTTAGAGGAATTCCGCCTCAGAATCGATCCAAATATTAAACACTTTCGAGACAATAGTTTGACTATATCACAGTGTATATATCAATAAAACAAATTTGTTTTGGTGATAAAAACATTGCATAGTATACACCTAATGAAAACTTCAAACATAGCTTTAGTGGATTAATTTTAAAATTTTATGTATGTCTATATTCATATAGAGACGTAGGATGCCTGTCTATCTCTTACGACGTTATAAACGGAATGCAATACTTATATTCCCACATACGCCATAAAAGCTGTAATCTGTATAAATTAGAATAAAATGTATATGTAAAATTATAAATCTAAGATATTTTAGATGTACCTAAGTATTACGTAAGTATTAAGTATCTAACTGTGTGACAACCCTAAAATAATAAGTTTTACGTTTAGGGTAAAAATAAAGTTTCTCTCCTACTTTATAAGAGTCTTACTGTGTATAAATAGATGGCAAAAGGTCACAGTACGATTTATAGACCATATCAAAGTCATCAACGATTACTCGATAAATGCTAAACAATAAAAATACCATCATCGGATATACAACTTTTGGAACGGGGTTGAGGCATATCTTATCATCGCATGTTCCCAAAAGTATACAGAGTGTAACGAAAGGGTATAACAATTCCAAATTTAGCGATAGTAGTCAAGAAATGGTTTATTAATATAAACATAATTTGACCCTTTTATACATATGTAGCGATGGTCACATTAAAATCCTACTGTCCAGGTCTCTCCCTTTAAGGAGAAAATATTAACTTTGTATAACTTTTGTGGCAGCTCAATATACGTAGGTTAACTTGTAGTTTTGGTTGCTTGCTACGACATACCAGAGTGGTGCATGGTATTGAATGTATAAATATATGAATGAATATTATTTTTCACTACATCTTAGAGTAAGATGCAAATAGATTTTGCTCTAGAAAAAGTGTAGAAAAAATATCGAGAGATCAAAAACCATGTTAAATTTAGGTAGATTTTTGTAGTACTGGAGAGTAAATTAAAACACATCATCATCATATCAACCTTTAACTGACCACAACTGAACATGCCTCATGCCAGTAGTTGCTACGCTTGGCGGATTGGCAACTGCAGTTAGGTTTTAGAGATGTTTTAAGAGGGACGTTGCTGCCCAAATCTCATCGTAGGTTCATCTCTTATCATGTTGGATTCAAATATGTTTGTAAAATGTGGCCAAGTTGAATATTATTTAATGTAACGGTATCTAGAAGTAGACAAATACAGAAGCATTTGTGAGGCAGAGAGTTGATTTACCTCACCAAGGATTACAGTCGTAAGATTATGTTTATTGTTTTTTAACTTATTTGTATTATGTTTTCAGTAAAAAATAATCAGCAAAAATGGGACGAAAAGTGACAGTGGCAGTATGTACTTTGAACCAGTGGGCGTTGGACTTCGAGGGGAATTTAAGTAGAATTCTGCAATCCATACAAGAGGCTAAAGAAATGGGCGCCCTCTATCGTACAGGGCCAGAATTAGAAATATGGTTATTATTATATTTATATAAGTAATCTTAATAGATAGGATAGTAAAAATAGTGCACAAACTTGTTCTGTAAAAATAATAAATTAAGCATATTATACTGCACTATAGTTGTTTATTTATCTTAATTTATGCCCGCACTTGTAATTATTATAATCCAAGATCCTTTGTTACAGTGGTTATAGCTGTGAGGATCATTTTCACGAATCGGACACCTATCTGCACAGCTGGCAGGTACTTGCGGAGTTACTTAAATCTGCAACATGTAAAGACATGCTCATAGACGTGGGTATGCCAATTCAGCACAGAAATGTCGTATATAATTGCCGAGTTGCTTTCCTGAACAAGAAAATATTGCTTATTAGACCAAAGATGTTACTTTGTGAGGATGGAAATTATAGAGAGAGCAGATGGTTTTCCTGTTGGACCAAAGTAAGTGATTTTAAACACATTATATATAATGTACTCGTATGTAGGTATATAAAGATAGACATCTTTAGTATCTACTCTAACTATTTATTCGTAAAGTAAGGGCTCTGGGGGATTAAAAATCACGTTGTACGTTAATTATGATAGATACGTTATTTTTATATAATTTGCTTGACTTTGTATTACTATTTGTAGTACACAGTATCATCTTTCAGTAAAATGCCTATTAAACACGTCGGCTTATACAAAATGAATCGTATTACGATACACGTAAACGACTTTTTAATTCGTAGGTGTGAAAACGCATGTACAATAACATACATTTTAAAATACGAGGTTTGTCCGGAAAGTACGTATAAAAGTTTTTTAAAAATTTTATTTTACAATTATTCAGGTAAATCAATTTTATCCCCTTCAAAGTACTCCCCCTGTGACATAATGCACTTGTGCCAACGCCGTTTCCACTGTGAGAAGGCTCCTTGAAAGTCCTCTGGTTGTAGGTTTCTCAGCTGCCCCGTCGTAGCTTTTTTTATCTCATTTATGTCCCCCAAATGCCGCCCCCGAAGTACCAATTTGGTTTTTGGGAACAAGAAGAAGTCACACGGGGCCAACAACATAACTCTTCGTGATTTTTGATCCGGGGACAAAAGCTTGGGAACGATCTTGGCGCAAATTTTTTTCATTTGAAGTTCGTTTCTTAGAATTTCGTGGACCACGGTTTTGCCCAAATTAAGCTCTTCAGCCACCTGTCTGACCGTTAAACGACGGTCCCCATTAACACAAGTTCGAAACGTTTTCGTCGGAATGTGAAGTGGAAGGACGTCCTGAACGTGGGTCATCTTGAACGCTTTCTCGGCCCTCTCTGAATCTTTTTAGCCACTTGTGGACGGTTGGTTCCTTCACAGCATCATCCCCATAAACTGTTCTGAGATCGGCAAAAATTTCAATTCTTGCCGATCGAGAGTATTACGACGCGCTGCTCTTCAACGGAAGCGGGCTTGCCGACGGGGTTTCGTTAAGAGGTAACTTCACAGATGGCGTGACAAAGTTCGCACCGCACGGCGGTCAGACCAGAACTGAAGCATTGTTAGGGACATAAGGAAGGGGTCCTGCGCTTACCTGGCCTCCCCACTCCTCTTTCTCGCATTCCAGAACACTTTTATACGAACTTTCCGGACAGACCCGTAATATAACCTACGTAGCGCAGTGGTAGACAACGTTTTGGGCAAATAATGTTCAAGCTTTGATTGTATTTTGGGTCTATTTGAACGAATTGAAGCCTAAGTAACAAATTCTTCTCAATTGATTAAATCGAGGTATTGGTGTTCTTGTTGTGTTGATGAAATGTTATTAATATTATGTTTTCAGGAACGACAAGTAGAAGATTATTTTTTGCCAAGAATGATAACAGCCATTACAAATCAGACGACAGTCCCTATCGGTGATGCTGTTATTTCGACGAAAGATACTTGTATAGGTTTCGAAATATGTGAAGAATTGTGGAATCCGCAAAGGTAAAGTGTCAATAATATCGAAGAGGGAGACTTTGTACAAATGTCGATTGCTTGGGTAACTCTACACCATTCGTGTTCCTACCGTGAAGCAGTCGTGTTTGCATGGCTGTGTATCGGTTTGAAGGGTGGGATATGGCGTGAATTTATAGGGTACAGAGGATTAGCACCTGAGTCCTCAGGAATGGCAACGCATGGAGGGTATTATGGGCGAAACAGAATACTCTGTTATGTCCATGGTACTGCTCATGTCTTTAGGTGAAGGTTACCATTTTCCATCTGGTGGGCCGTCAGCTTGTTTGCCGTTCTAAGTTGTATAAAAAAAAAGTAAAGTTGGTCACGATCACATGACGATAATGTTAATTCAGTTTCGGTTTAACGTGAAATGATGTTAATTATATTGTAAAATTATACTCTGTAAAAAAATAGCAATATTAATATGGGATCAACACAACGAATCAATTCTATCGATAAAAAAGACATTACGAGCAAAATCAATTCAGAATTAATGTAAATTAATTTATCAGTTAGTTTTTCGTGGCTAAACAAATTTAAGTTTAATTTGATTGAAGAAATATTTTAATACAAATTTCTACTGTCAAGTTAGCCGGAAGAGATCTCTTTCAGATATAAGTTAATCTTTGCTCACATTATCTCTTTATTTAAATAATTTTTAATGCATAAAAGAATATTTAATTTTAAACGTGTTTTTCAGTCGCCACATTCCGTTAAGTCTTGATGGTGTTGAGATAATATCTAACGGCTCTGGTAGCTATATGGAACTCCGTAAAGCTTACGTGACTGTGGATTTAGTGAAGAGCGCCACGTTTAAAAGTGGGGGCGCGTATTTGTTCAGCAATTTAAGAGGTTGTGACGGACAGAGAATATATTTCAACGGATTTTCGTGTGTAGCTGTTAATGGTGAAATAGTTAGTAGAGGACTACAGTTTGCATTGCATGATGTGGTATGTAAAATATCCTTATAATATTAACTAATATAATAAAATTTAAAGTGATTTTATTATTCAACCGATCGTCATGAATTTTAATATATAGGATACTTGTTTTGGTTAGTAAATATATTTGAGTTACACGGAAGAAGTCGCATCTGCAAATAGTATATAATAATTGACTTATTTCTTAAAAAAATGTCCTATATTTATAAAATTAATACGGGATTAATATAAAAGTAAATATTTTCAATAAAAATGTAATCCTTAAAATCAGTATGTAATTAAAAGAAAAGAAGCTAAATACTTATAATATAGGTCCTGTATGCTTTTCCTTTTATATCGTGTTTACATGAAATAAGGAAATACATTTTTATTTTAGGGCTGATACGCAATAGCTTTTCAAGTGTCAGGGTTGCGCTACTGGTTTACCCGTATAAGCTCACCTTAAGACCAATTACATATGTGTCGTAGATAGAATTTAATTTTGATTTAAAAATTTAAAAAAGCTACATATGTAGATGTTAAAAAAATAAAAATAATGTTTCAATTATCTACAGGAAGTAATAACGGCTGTTATAGATTTGGAAGATATAAGATCGTATCGGACTCAAATACGTTCTCGGTCGCATTTGGCAGCGTCTAATACACCTTTCCCTCGTATTACTGTTGATTTCTCATTGTCCGACGATGACGATGTACATCTGATTGCCAATCCTCCCATAGACTGGAAGTATTTAACGCCGGAAGAAGAAATTGAATTAGGTACGTATTTAATAAAAAAAAAAAAGAAATCTGCTTATTTGTTTGTTTTTAAGTGATTTTGTGTGTGAAGTCGTAGCACCATTAGGAGGTCTCAAAATTTATAACATATATTTAAATTGAAATGATTATTTTAATAAATGGATTTGTAAAAGTCAATGATTTAAGTGTATTATAAAATTTTATTATAAAGAAATTATAGAAATAAGAGATAAGGAATTAAGTTGTTCAAAAATCTGTTATATGGGCAAGTAAAATAACATTTTTGCTCTATTAGGTCCAGCGTGTTGGCTATGGGACTACTTGCGGAGATCCGGTCAAGGCGGTTTCTTTTTACCTCTCAGTGGCGGCGTAGACTCTACGAGCACTGCTTGCATCGTATTTTCTATGTGTACACAAATTTGTGATTCCATTCAAAAAGGAGGTAAATATTGAGATTTGATGTGGTTTTAGTTATGAGTTAAATATTTAAAGATCCCACAAAAAATAACCGACTTTAATTGTGACGAAACCAGTTATTTTGGTATAAACTGTAAGTATATCTTTTCAGATAAAAAAGAATTCAATTCAAATCGGTTTAGAACTGACGGAGCTATGAGATAACTAACAAAAAAAAAATACAACTGAATTAAGGACTTCCTTCTTTTTGAAGTCCGTTGAAAATGTAAAAATAACACAATAAAGCGTAATAGATCATTTATGTCCGATAACTTCAATAGTTTAATATTTTTAATTTCGGTTATGCCATTATATCCTAATATTATACACTAGACACAAAAATTAAGGGATATATAAAAAAATCAAAATTTTTGGGTGATTTTCAACGAGCTGTAACTCCGGGGAAAATGATGGTACAGCATAAAGAAAAAAGAAAATTGTAGCTCCAAGTGTCTAGTTTTCAGATATAATCATAAATATTTTTATCATGATTGGGTCTGGAGTAATCCTAAGAAAACTACAAAAAAAAAATTGCAATTTTTTTTTATATCCCTTAATTTTTGTGTCTAGTGTATTATAAAAATACATTCCCTTATACTGTTAATACATCTTATTATAATTGTTAAATTTATAGAAAGCCAAGTTTTATATGATGTACGCAAGATTCTATGCCAGTCTGACTACACACCATCGGATCCCATGGAGTTGTGCAATAGGTTGTTGGTAACATGTTACATGGCTTCAGAAAATTCTAGCCAGGAAACAAAACAGCGGGCTTTACAGGTATAAATAGAGTATTCGTTTTTGTATAAATGTCTGAACATTATGTTTATTATTTAGTGTTTATTCCTTTGTATAAAAATACGGAATATAGAGAAAATACAGCGCCAGCTTAGAAGTTTATATCAGTAACAGAATTTACGAAACAATTTCCTTTAAAAAGTAGTCGAAATATGAAAGTAATCTTTAAACATTTCATATGAAACGCGTGATAGGATTTATGTGGTTTCATGAATTATCATTGCGTTTTATATTGGTATTTCTTTTCAGAATATTTTTGTATATTATGGTGTAAGTTTCATTTTTTATATTAGACCGAATGGTAAACAAGCCTTTAACCGTTCTCCATGTGCTTTTATGTAATAGATTGGGTGCTCGAAACGTCGGCATATTCAGTATCTGCTATTCCTTACTAAATCACTCTACCCGTATCTACTAAACCAAAAATAGGCTTTTGTGTAAATTTATTTGTTTACGTCATCTATTTTAATTTCTCTATGTTTTTATCATTTTATTAAAACATAAAAATGAGACAAAACTGTATTTCAGCTAGCCAGTGAAATAGGCAGTTATCATTTCCCAATCACGATCGATGCGGCCGTCAGCGCTGTCATTGGTATCTTCACGGCTGCCACCGGACTCGTACCTAAGTTTAGAAGTAATGGCGGATGTGCTAGACAGAATTTAGCGTTACAAAATATACAAGTAAGTGTTCGCTAATATATAGCAAAATCGATTGCATGATAATGATTTCAGAGTAAGATTTTGTAGCACACTATTACTATAGTATAATTAACGATCAGTGGTCCAACGCCAATGTCTTGTATGAATATGAGAAAATGACAATTCGGGCCTTACCTACTTTTCTATCTAGACATGTCAGTTGAACGACTGGCAGTAATAATTATCAATATCATAATTGCAAATAAGCTGATGGCCCATGTGATGAAAAGTGGTAACGGTCACTTATTGATACTAACACCTAGAATATAATAGAATACAATGCAATCACCGCGAATAGCAATGCATTATGTATACCATACATCTGATGCGTTGTTATTCGTGGAAACTAAGGAGTTATACCTCCATTCTGCAACATATTGCACACTAGCTGACCCGCGCAATTTTGTTTGCGTCACATAAGAGAGAGAGAGAGAGAGAGAGAGAGAGAGAGAGAGAGAGGGAGATAGAGAAAGAGAATTGCGAATGGGGCGTAAACACTTATTACACTTAAGGGCAACTTTGTTTAAACTTAAATACTTATGATGAATAACGTATTTATTTGGATAAAGATTAATGCCATGTTTTTACAAACACCTTCGCAAATAATGCATTATTTTAGAACAAATTTCATTACCATTGAAAAGGTTATAATGAGCCAACTTCAAAAGATATACGTATGTTATCGCGGACTTTGTTGAGTAACTTTAACTGTTTATGTAGCGCATGATGCAGCATGGGGTTCTTCAAAAAAGGGGTAAAGAGGTTTCTTCAGGGTCGACAACGCGCGCGTAATGCTCCTGGTATAGCAGGCTTTCATAGGCTATGGTAACCGCTTACTATCAAGTGAGTCGTATGCTTTTTGCCACCACAGTGGTATAGAAAAAAACGCAAAAGAAGCTCTCAAAAGGAACAAAATTTTCCCGTTTTTGCAATATTTTTTATTGATGCGCCACTAAATAAACTCTTCAGCTTTATAGTATATATATATATATATATATATATATATATATATATATATATATATATATATATATATATATATATATATATATATATATATATATATATATATATATATATATATATAGTATAGATTATCCAATTAAATACATTTTTTCAGGCGCGTCTAAGAATGGTGTTGTCATACTTATTCGCTCAATTAATGCTCTGGGCGCGAGGTCGGCCCGGAGGTCTATTAGTATTGGGTTCATCTAACGTAGACGAAGCACTCAGAGGCTATATGACTAAGTATGATTGTTCCAGTGCTGATGTGAATCCCATTGGAGGAATATCAAAGACTGATCTTAAATCTTTCTTGCAGTATGCTAAGAATCGGTAAGTTTGTTGATCTATACAGTACAATAAATTTGTTCGTAAATACTTTTTGCTCTTAGTAACCCATTTATTATTAGGACTATTACCACTTTGGCTAAGCCGCTTAGGTTCGTTTCAAATTTTTACGCCATACTGGGGATGATGTATTCATATCATGAGATATGAAATTAACATAGAGATTATTTTAATTGTCAATATTAGTAAATTTTAGCCTATTTCATTATTTTATCATTTAATTGTACACTGTTGAACATAAGATAGGGTAGGTATAGGTAAGGGTGGGTAATATATAGCTATTTCTCAAACATGCTTGGAAATGTGAGCATTATTTTGACAATTTTCTTCGAGATAAATCAAAATTGCCGTACTGGCCAGATACATGCAGGCAGCGGTCGGCAAAAGTTGTATGGAAATCCATATCTGTCGTGTTTTGCAGCCAGATAAATTATTATGTAAACTCATATCTGTCCTGTAATTTTAAAATGGAATGATCTTTTACTTCGAAACATGGCTATCAAGGAGGTAACTAATAAAAAGTTTTATTTAAATTTTGAACTGGGTTATAAATAGAAATCTGTTTATTGAAAAAAAAAAACAAAGGAACATTATGGCGCGTGAAAAGTTATTATTGTTCGTTATTCGTCATTGACTCAGTTGCTGGCCGCTGCAGTAATGTACTAAATCTATATATTTTAGTTAAAAATCTATAATGGATATTTTGAATATATGTTGTCCAATATATAATGTTGAAATAAATCGAACCCGATTAAGATGAATACGGACTTCCGACTGGTATGGCCGAAATAGGCAATGATCTTCTTTTGCGCCATCAATATCCAGAGGAACTTAATATATACAAAAGATATCGCAGAGGTGACTGATATTACGCATGCCTAGTTCTGAGGCATCTGTATTCATCGGCTTCCCAACAAGCAGCATATGTGGTTGTTGCTACATATCTATGATTTGATTAAATAAAATCAAGTACTTAACTGTCCTAAACCGACGTTGATTGTAAAAAGAGGTTTACAAGATGCTATATCATGTAGTTAAATGTAAGATCATTTCCCACAAAATTAATTTTAGCCACAATCTTAAATGGTTTGTTGAAGTGTTCAGATTGTTGACATGATCAAGATAATTTGGTATTTGAATATTTATGGACATGATAATTATTCAGGTTCTTCCTACCTTCACTGTCGGAGATTCTACAAGCTCCACCGACGGCTGAATTGGAGCCATTGACGGACGGTCAGATCACTCAAACAGATGAACAAGATATGGGCATGACGTACGCTGAACTCTCTGAATTCGGTCGTCTGAGGAAGACACAGCATTGCGGGCCCTTTAGTATGTTTCAAAAGTTGGTGCATAGGTGGAGTCATAAATGCACCCCGCAGGAGGTAAATGCTAACATTGTAATATTATTATTCGGTATAGCAGCGTATATATTGTCATATTGTATACTATGTGTGTGTATGTACTTAAATATTTAACAAACTATTTTAATATATTCATTTCTATTTATAGATATATACGTTGTAATGCGTGTTGCAAAGGCTTACACTTATTGTAGTTAAATTTGGAATTAATGGTTCTTTTTTGCAGATTACCAATTGCTTGATTTTTTTTTATCATTACGTGATTGCCATTAGTACAACTGAGTAATGATAAAGAGGATGAAGTCAGGTCAGTTGACTTCTCGCGAAGAGTTCAGGAATTAAGCACAGTGGTTTCCATAGGACCGCATGGAAGTAGATAGAGTATATTGTTAATATTGTCCACTGCTAACAATCTCTTTGCCTTTTCTTTAAATATTGTGTCTTATTTTTATTATGCAACTTAGTTTAATTTTTTAACTTTAACATCTTATTTAAACGAAGGTTTTGATATTGCAGGTAGCAGAGAAGGTGAAGCATTTCTTCCGTTGTTACGCGATAAACCGACACAAGATGACAGTACTGACGCCCTCGTACCACGCGGAGACGTACAGTCCTGACGACAACCGGTACGACCATCGCCCGTTCCTGTACCGTGTGCATTGGAACTGGCAGTTTAAAGCAATTGACGATGCGGTAAGTAAATTATTACGGGTATGTCATAGTTATAACAAAAATTAGGTCTTTTTTAATAGGTGCAAATGGAATGGTAACCCCGCCTATCTGCGCTATCGGGATATACTGGCGAGGCACCAGTGAGTGATCATAGATGAGGATAAAACAGGTCAGTTGTCATGTCATGTCATGAATTTCACAAGAGTTACCTACGGTGATTTCCAGGGAGAATGGCGTGGAGCTGGACCTGTTAAGGTATGTTGCTAGCAATAGGGCTGTTATATTTTATTACTAATGATTCCTTTGCTCCTCACAAAAATAAGCTCACAGTGTACTAGTGAGAGATGATAAGCGAGGGGAGGATGAAGTCAGATCAGTTAACCCCTGCTTCATAAGGAATTCATCATGATGGTTTCTAGAAAGAATATGTGAAGGTCCGAACCGATACGACAACATAACCTTCAAGAAAAGAGTATATTCCTTTTTAAAAGGCCGGCAGCACACCTGCAATGCCGCTGGTGTTGTGGGTGATCATGGGCGGCGGTAGTCACTTACCATCAGGTGAGCCGCATGCTCGTTTGCCCCCTGTGTTGTAAAAAAAAAAAAAGGTTAATTTAACGGGGTATAGTTCTAGCAATGGTCTAGTTAGTAATCTGTTTGTAATTAAGGTTAGTCCCCATTACTAACAGTCTCTTACCCTCGTGAAAGTCAGCATGTTGCTATTGATAGATATGGTTTGCCTTTGTTAGAAATACCTTGTAAAAGAGCTAAGATTGATTAGTTTTTTTCATCTGTCATAATATACTCTTGCTTATTATAAAGTTGTGTGTTTCGATTTCGCAAATATTTTTCTCAATTTTTTTTATTCTCATCTCGATGACAGTGCAATAATAAAATTTAATTAATTGTCGTAGGTTGCGCAAATGTCCAAAGAAAAGAGAATAATAACACGCGAAGGCGACCGAGCTCAAGCAAACCAAGATATCGGTAAACCGAACAGCACTAGTGCTACTGTATCAAGTGCACCTTATAATATGCGTGGTGATAGGAAAGCTGTGCTTATTTAATGTGTTAGTCATTATTTCTCCCGTGTGTACTTCGATGAACTGCAAGATAGAGTCACGTTAGCGTTATCTATCTTTCACGTTGACAAGCATCTCGATGTATATGTATTACAAATGACAATATGCCGCTCGATTGAAAAAAATCTGATTGAAATTCTTCTCGCTTCAAATTTTTATAATTACACAATAATTATGAATGTGATTTCACATTTTAATAATATTTATATATCAATTTGCAATTCACAAACTGATAAATATTTAATTATAAATGAATATAATAGGAAAAATTGCATTCCTCATAGGAAATGCCATGATGAAGAAATTACTAACGGCGCTTGACTATATATAAGTATACGACGGAGAAGCAATGAATTTCATTAGTATATGTTGGCTGTATGACATTTGTTCCTAGCATTCACAACTATTACAGCTCTTCTGTCTTTATACAATATAAAATAAAAATATAATTTAATTCAACATATTGGTTAGTATTTTTTAACTAAATTTAATTAGATACAATTACAAATTAATAGATGGAAGAGTTGTTTTAGATTTTAGCCACAGCATATTTATTTGTTATGTGTTTATTAGAATAAATGGCGTGTTTGTGTGCGATGTAGTGTCTGTAACAGTAATTGTCTGCTGAAATTTCATTTAATATTATGCATGATATATAAGTCATAAATGTGTATAAGTCATAACTTATACACATTTAGTAACTAGCGTTTTTTTTTAAAGTTTGCCTTCATAACAAGTATAAATCTAGTACTTTGATGTTTCGTAAATGTTATATCTTAGTAGAATATTACAGAGTACAATATTATGTTATTATTGTATGTTACTTTGCACTTGTTATATTTTAGAAATTGAATAAAAACGTTAATTCGAATTTTAGTTTACTCTGAGGCTTCGAAATTTTCATTTTTTCAATTTTTTTTTTTTTTTAATATTACGAAGGTGACAATTAAACATACGGGATGTATTGTATGGTAAACGCTTTCTGTAGTCTGTAGACGCCTGCGCGTTGCCGACTGAAGGAACATTAATGTACTTTTTTTAAAGAACCCCAGTTCCTTGAAGTTTGCTATTTACTGAAGTTCCTTGAAGGTTACTACATACTGTAGTCTCCAGGAAAAATTTCTTAGAAAATATTGTTGCAATATACCTAATAGGAAAGGAAAATGTAATAGTATATATTTTTTCGTCATGCCGATGTCGTAGACCTGCACGGATATATAAAAGCGTCTTTATTCCACCTGTATAAAGATGCTTTATAAACACTTATAAAATTTGCTTTCTTATATAACATTTAACTAAATATAATACTATTTAATTTAAATTTAACGTCTTTGCTTTATTTATTTATTTACTCTTTATTGCACCACTTAAAGAATAATACAAAGATAAATATATACCTATTAAACTTATGGAGTACAAAAAGCGGTCTTATCGCTGTAGCAATCTCTTACAGACCTTTGAGTAGAGAAGAAAGAAATAGAGCGGTAGCTATTTGGCGCAAGAAGTGTAACTAATAAAAGAAGAAAAACGCTAATGTTAATAAAATATATGCAAATAATCATATTAAATATTAACATAATATTTAGTTATACATACTGTCAACATGTGTGAAATGTCGGTGCAACTGTAATTACTGAACTAATGTTACTGTTGCAGTCACATTTCCCAGTCGAGTTTTATCGTGTTCATCAGTGTTGTTTTTTAGTTCTTATATTGCTTTTTCTTTTCACTGCCACTGTTTTCCACTTTCGTCAAGTGAAGTAAAAAGCGAAGGAGCACTTCCGCACTGAATACCACATATATGGTACAATGCTAGACTTTTATTACAATGTAACTGTAATAGTTTCACATCGCACAAATTATCGTGAGTTTCTCATTACTCCTTTTAAATAGATATAAAAAAGATGTCAGACGTGCTGTCTCTTTCTTTTCCGTGTAAGTAGGTAGTAGAATGGAATTCAAAATTAGAGCAATTTAGTAGCTTCTCGATTTTTATATTCATAATGTGTGACGTAAGTGAGATAACAGGTGTCAATCTTCGCTTTTTCAAACTTATGTATAAAAAGTATATTATTGTAGATTTATACATGAGTTTGTGTGATACGCAATACCATAATTTCATTTGTTATTACAGACGACTGATTATGAAAAATCAATTTCTTTGAAAGTGATAATTTGAATCTGCTTTATTACTTTTTTTTTGTAATAAAACGTAGACATATAATTTTATTATATTATACACAAATGGATATATATTTGTAAGTTTAAAAATTAAAAAATGGATGTGTGTAAGTTGTATACACATTCACAGTACGCTTACAGAAATATTCTTTTGTTATGTGTGTATTGTATGTTACTAGATATTGTTTATTTATTATGTAATACTCGTAAATTAAAAGCCTACTTGTCGCATACTATTTATTTTGAACAAATTTGATTAGGAATAATTTGAGTTTATGGGTATACATCGTACAAATGGATCTCTGTAATGGATTGCCTGATAAATTATTAGGTTTTTTAAAATATACTAGTAATATAACTACTTCAAATCCTTTTATTTATAGGTAAGTAGTAGTATGCAGTAATAATTGCAATAGAACAAATAAATATTTTTATATATAAGAAATAAATGGATTGATTGAGAAACAATGCTAAGTATTCAGTTTATTATAATTTGTTTTTCAAAAGTTGTCTTAGAATAAAATAAAAAAGATATTTGTCTTTATTTATTATCATGTATCTTAAATATTCACTGAATACGTATGTAGACGTAGTTGCAGTGCAACTAGCAATGAGCTGGTGATGATGATGCTGGTAATTTCGTATAAGAGCCAATAGTTAAGAATAACTTGTATTATTATATTATGCTAATGAAATAATTACTTTTAGAATAAAAATGTGGACTTTATTGGATATTTGGCTACAAATATTATAGTGATCGCACTATATCTTATCATTCACCTGTTCATTTTGAGAAAAAAATTCTGCCAATCGAATTATGTGTTAATTTCAATTCTGTTATGGTTTTATTCTTGGTGTGCACGAAAATACGAATATAAAAACCAGTTACGATTTAATAAATTAAATACTGATATAAAAGTGGATAAAGCAAGAGTTGTGTATAAGGAAAGAAGTCTGTGGTCATTTAATTCTATTTTGTCCTCCCATAATTTGGTGTAAAAAAGACATTGATAGAGATTGTTTAAAGAGAAATTGTGAGAGAATATTATAAGTATAAAAAAATATTGCTATTTTTTATGATTATATGCCACAACTTATTTTTTGTTTGATTAAACACTTCTATATGACTTTCTCGTTATATGTTTTATTAGTTGTCGTATATGATATGCCACTTTTGAATCAAGATTAGCTCGAAAGAAAGATACAAATACATCAATAGCTAAGATTTAACAGATTATTTTTTTTATGAACAAGATAGTTCATATCTCTCACTAAATACGAGTATAGGTAAAGCAGTCATCACCATTTCAGCAATTAAATCTTTAATAACTTATGTGTTTGCACATAAGAATATCAAATCTTTAATTGACAATGAATTACTTTCTTCTTTGGTTCTTTTTTTTTTATCTTCCTTTTCTAATGTGTCTAAATGTAGTTATTAAAATATTTTATCTTTTTTTTTTTGAACAATATTTGTGATAGGAAATGACAATACGCTATAATAGTTAAAATAGGTCTCAACGAGATTTTAGCTTTTACAAGTTGCTTAATCTATAGTAAAAGACAATTAAGTGATAATTGTTTATGATAACTTTTCAGGTACGAAATAAGCATCAATAACCCAAGGAGGAGAAATAAGAGACGCCTCGCACAATGTATTTTGAATTATAATTAATTAAATTGTTTGTATTTATATTAATGAAATTGTTGCACCTAAATAAAAATTAATTTGAGTATATACTGTATTAAAAGAAACAGTTTTATATAACATTATTTTATTGAATATCTAGTATTTTTCGTTGCCAACGGTCATAATTTTATGGTTCAATGTAAATATATGATAAATACACAATTATTTAATTTACTAGATATTGAAGTATCATAATATTTGTGCTATTTTTTGCGGAAAGGTTAAATAGTAATTCCGTGTCTGCGAATATCATCTTCTCCTTTCTTCGTTAAAAGAAACCTGCAAGAATAATCAGCACATTAGAATGATGAAATTTCAAATTGTTATTGCATATGATCAATAAGTGAAACTTTATAGTAAAACATCAAGAATAGATCAGAGGGTCTACCATGAAATAAAATTCCGAATTTTCGGGTTCAATTTCGTGTTTTTGCTCGTACCGAAATCGACCCAGTAAATGGAGCTTAACATTTTATTTGTCATAAATCCTACCATAAAAGTGTAAAGGAACGATATTTTAGCATTTTTAATATTTTTAAACGGTACGTATAATGTAATTTTAGCATCAATTTTTTGTTTCGTTCGGATCTGAAATTTCGGAAAACATTTCATGGTAGGCCCTCAAACTATCTGAACGAAAAGTATTGGGTTCGTACAATTTCTCAGTTCAAATATTTACCTAAAAATTTCTTGGCACCGGTTTTTAGGATATCTGCTCCAGTGTCAACTGCTTCCGCAAACAATGCGCCAGGATTAATCGGTATTTTTGGTATTGACGACGGAGACGCTGTAACACGTTAAAAGTTACATTAATTTAATGTTGTATTCACACTATTCAGGAATTGATTCATGGTAATATACGGATTTTTTTATGTGGGTTCTCTTTATGACAGAAGGAGTTGCGCTAATGGGATATGCTTCATCGTGTCAAGGGTGTAGAGACCACACCTGAACATCTCACATCCCATAATCCATCCATCCATTATGCACTCTTCATTGTGGGGTGTTAAGGTGTGGTTTATTTGGTGTTGAGTTTTTAAGGGTGAAGGTTGCCTGGGAAGTGGGTTACTTGGGATGACTGTGTTTAATGTTCGGGTGTAGGTTGTTAAAAGGTGGAATATTCCATTAGATTGTGGGCATGTTTATTGGATTTTTGTTCGGTGATTGGAGGTGATTCGTTTGTGGGTTATTTTGACTGGTGGGGATAAGATATGTGTATAAGGCAAAATAAAGTCCTGCGCAGACGAGGGGCAATACTCGGCTTACTTTTTATCCATCAATATAAAATATAAAATTATATAGTATAACTAGTTTGATATTTTTATTTTTACTCAGGACGAGATAACACAAAAAGGTTGAGAACTTTGGAATCGATTTCAAAAGGTTTTCAATTTGGTTATATATTAGTCACGCACTTTTTAACGAGACAAATTTGTATCCCATAGTTTTCTTCTGTTATACCAGGGCAAAATATTGAAAAACGAGACGCTTCAGGTCAAAACAATACACAACTTACGCAAGATTCTGGCTGTAAATTAGGGGATTTTTACATTCAGAGGGGAATAATCTCTCCTCTGCGTAGGGCTTCATTGAATGACTTAGTTTTGGAAAATAGGATGTATAAAATTAACTATACGTTAAAATATCATGATTGGAGTTATAAGCGTGCTTCTGCTGTCTGTTCAGAGATCAGTACAATGATAACAAAGTAACAATAGTAATTAGAGGTTGTGACAGTTCCTGGATTATAATTATAACCATGTATATAACAAAGCTTGAAGAGTAATACAGCACCATACATATGAGGTACTTACGCCATGAATCCTTCAAACATCTTCTGTATCTTGGCAACGAGTCGGAGATATCTAAATAATAAGTTTTACCTGTGTTTTGTTTTTTTTTTTTATATAAGGTGAATTTATCAAGTATGTGTGGATACTAAATCCGAAAGTATAAAATAAGTATAAATAGTCTAAAATACCGTTTGGCGAGATTGATAAGCGTTATATTTTTCAAATCAAATTTAAATAACAAAATTATTAATTTTCGATTAGAAAAACAAATTTTTCAAAAATCTATTTATGAATTTCCTTTTGATATTTATTAAAATTGCCCACGAGAATCCCGTAAATTTTTTAGTTATTTTTAATTATTAGTTATTTAGACATAGAATCACACTTGAAAAATTCGCATTATAGCTATGTTAGTAGCGGGTATATAAAATCTTTGTATGTATTTATAAAATTTCTGTATATTTCTAATCTTTACTAATCATATTTTATATGTGACGGAACATTTGTTTATTACCTCTTAGTGCTTTAACGGCTCGACCAATCTTTATGAAATTTGGTATATACCGCAGTATTTCAGATAGAGAAGGACATGGACGTTAGTGAATATATAATATTTAATAGAGTATTAGATATGCGGCTTATCTCGAAAGAGTTCCTTCGTATTATTTTGATTTATAATTTATTAGTATTTCATATTCAGGTAGTGTATTTTTGGACAAAAGCTAAAATAATCACCTGTAGGGGCTGCAGCACTTTTAGCTGAAACAAAATGTATGATTATGATTATGAGGATCTGTTAAAATTTTTTACTAAACTTAAGAATTATAGTAAGATTAAGATAGAAGTACCCTATATATTTATCTTTTATACCAGCCGTTATCTGTCCACTGCTGAACAAAGATCTCTCCCTTGGGGAGTTTTGGTAGTAGTTGACATGCTTGGCAGGCAGGTTGGTACCTGCAGTTAGGATTTGGTGATGTTTATAAGAGGGTCGCTGTTGTCCTTAGTCGCATCTAACGGTATCCACGGGAAAGGAAGGATATATAATAAATATATACATAATAGGATATAATAAAGATGTCTAATTAAATTTAGTTTCAATTTCAAAAATTTTTTGTCTTTATGCACTTTACCATAGTAATTTTTCAGTAAATATGAAATAACAGTCAGAATCTACTAATTGTATTGAAAGAAAACTGTTTTTTAGGTGAACACCTTAGCCGTCGTAATAGCAACTAGAAGTTTTGCTCTCGCAATTTTTTTTACCTAAGTCTCTACGTACCTATATTTCATAGCAAATTCTTATTGGTAAATAGGTATAATGTAAAATTAACCTTCAGTATTTGTTTCATAGAGTTTATTATATCTACTTGTTTTTACCACTTAACCAATCTTTATGAAGTTTGGCATCTACGTAGTATTTGTGATGGGGAAGGAAATGGGTTATTTTTTACCCTGGTCCATCAATATAATATCTCGGTTATTCCGATAAAGCCGCGAGTAAAAACTAGTATAAATTAAAAAAGTAAATTAAAAATATCTATAGTATTTTAAGTTTTTTAATTACTTACCCTCTTCAGCGTCCGCTGGTTTGGCATACTGCAAAATAATAGGTTAATTACATTAATGAATTTGTTGCCTCGTAACGAGAAAATAGCTAAATAGATTTTAACTTAATCTTATTTTCATTGAGAAGGTATTAAATATATTGAAATATTTAACCCTTTATTGGTTTACACATAGCGTCTAATAAAAATATATTATTTGTTTCGTGGTAATTGGAACGTATTTAGGTTGGATATCTGAGATTTTTAAGATAGTTTAAATATTATTGTAGTTATTACACATAGGTTTTTTACTTTTTTGAAAAAAAAAACAGTACAGTACAGTCTCTCTGGTAAAACGCTTTCTTAAAAGAATGCTAATAATGTTTATTGTAGATGTGCTACAGATAAAGAAAAATAGGAATAGAACCTAAACAGCTTTCAACTGAACTTTCGAATAGAAATTGGTAATTGGCAACATCGTAATGTTTAGAATGGATTAATTCATCAATCCATTCCATTTACATTAAAATTTTGATAATATTATATCACTATTCTCTATAATTATATAGTTAACTTTGTAGTTACGTAATTGCTTGTTACTGTATATATTTTTACCTAAGATTGTAATATAAGAAATGGGGTTAATTCGGAGATAACACTCCGAGTAGAATTTTCAATTTTAATTTAATAATTTAGTAAAATTTAGCAAAACTATTGTGATATAGACCATCAATATTTCAATGTAATGTAAATATAATTCTATTAAAAAAATATATTGGTTCTTATAATAACATTTCACTGTAAATTTTAATTTTAATTTTAGATATAGAGAATTATGCTTAAAAATCGACTTCAATGTTGCTAAAAAATTTCTTTAGTTTTATTTAATAATGGAACTTACGATTTGTGCAACCAGCGCCGCAATCAAGAGACAGTACAGAATTTTTGCCATGTTTCAGGTATTATCACACTGTTATGTTCCAAATCCCAAAAACAACAGTCAACTAATCTTCAAAACATTTTCGTTGTGTTATATACGAAAATTGTCTCTATTGGGGTGACCACGAACAATTGAACAAACATGGCGTTACGCAAATTTGAACAATTGTCCATTATTATTATGAATAATGCTTGTCATTTAAAATTTTCCTAAAAATTGACCGTGGAAAGCAGTAGCCTTAAAAAAATACTTGTACATCTTTAACAATACATCCGACGTACAGGGTTGTCAGCTATCTATGCTATATATATTTAATTTACAAATGATAAAAATTAAATAAAACTCATAAAACAAATTAAAGCAAATTTTTACCGATTTCAAAAGGAGAAGGTTTCATACCTTTATGTGGTAAGGTATTGAGGATTTCTTTTTTTAGTTTTGTTGGGACTACATGCTTTGGATGTAGGTACCTATTCTCGGCTCCCATGCTAATAATATACCTACAATGTTCAACCGACATTAAAGAAGGATATTTTTAATATGGTTATATTTTTTATATTTGTTACCTCACAACTCTGTCATTTATAAATCGATTTGGAATTTTTTTCTTTTTTTTTTATCTGAAAGGATACACTTTCAGATTAGTTCCATAGAAATTTTATTAAAACAGGTTTTTTTTTTTTTAATAAATCCTTAATTCGTATATTGTTTCAATTTTTGGTTCTTGTAATTATTAATTGTATAGTTTAATTATGTTGATTGCAGTTGTATCGGTCACAGCAATCAGTGAATGCAACCCTTAAGGGTTACGCTCACTGACTGCTAAAGGTAATATTAATAAAAGTAATATATGTATTTTATTTCAATGTTTAATTACACTATAATGTGACGAATATTGTGGGCCAAATTTCATATATAATTTTCAGTATTATAATAATGCCACGGCCTTTTCATTGTAAAATGTTTTCTGTTTAAGGGGGTTAAAATTGTGTCTGTTATATATATCTATAGGAACATATAGATATTATAATAGTAGGTATATTTGGTTGTTTAATAATCCAATATGTAATAAGTAACCACATTGAAGTCAGATTTCAAATAGTGTTGGCTTCTTATTATTTATTTGGTAAGTTCTTCGTATAGAAACTAGTTCACACTGTTTCGTAAATATTGTTTTATTATAATGCTTTTAGTTTGTTTGTACAGTTGGCAACCCTACTTATTATCCTCGTATTTATTTCGTGATGAATGGCGTACATTTGTCCATTAGGTACTAGTTCTACCTAGTTATTGCTTTTCTAATAATTATAATGACAAGACTCTACTAGAACAAAAGAATTTATTAGAATACCTATCCTCTTTGACAAAATTATAGACGTAGTATACTGTACTGACGACCAAATTGTGTTTTGTTCGACGTTGTCGACTAAATTTGAATATAAAATTATTACACCATTTTAAGGATTTAAAGGAATAAACCCGTTTGATGATAAATGCTTTATCGGATTAATCTATGTTTGCTGGCAATTTAGTAGTTTTTCTACAATGTAGGTATATTTTTATTTACAACAGGGGGTAAACGAGATTATAGCTCACCTGATGGTATAAGTGATTACTGCCCCCCATAGGCACAGAGAAATTAAGAAAGCAACATCAGAGAAATTATAGGGGTGTTGTCGGCTTTTTCGTAAGAAATTTACTTTTTCTTGAAGATTTCAATGTCGTAGCTGTTTTATATTTTTATACTATTTATACCCGGTAATTTTATGAGGAGGGAGGGTATTCTTTTTTTGGTGGATGAAAATAGAATGTTAATCCCGCCTACGCTAACGGAATACACTGACGGAGCACCAGTAAAGTGTGATCGATGAGAATGATGAGAACAGGCCAGTTAGCCCATCATGATGAATTCATCAGGAATTAACCATTATAGTTTCCAGGGGGAACCACGAGGAGGTCGACCTAGTTGGGTATATTGCTAGCAATAGGATTTTTAGTCTGCATTACTAACAATCCTATTCCCTCCAGAGGGAGGGTATTATTAACAAAAAAGCAACATCGCAAGTGCTTGGGAATCCAAGCCCAGTACATTGAACAAAAAAAAAAAAACAATCGGGTCTAGTGATCTTATTGGTTAAGTTGCTGAGAGATTATCATTCACAAATTTATATTCTCTTTGATATGCTTTAGATAACATTGGACACTTATTGACCAAGTACTCTGCGCCAGTTCTGCTTGCCTTTACTAACTTTCTCCTCTGGGGGGTAAGAATTAAATTTTTTCTACTTATCCCTACCATTGTGATAAATCAGTAGGGATAAATGAAAAAAATATGCCACTTTACTTCCGATATTTTTTGGTAATAATAAGCACAGTCCGTTAGAAATTTAATAGTACAAAGACATGTGTTCTGCCCGCATTGTGATATCCAGTGTTTTTTTTTTTTATATAATTTAGAATGGCAAACAAGCTGACAGTCACCTGATGGAAAGTGGTAACCGTCGCCTATAGGCATGAGCAGTATCATGGACAACAGAGTATCCTGTTTCGTCCATGATATTCCCCATGCGTTGCCATTCCTGAGGACTCAGTTGTTATTCCTCTGTACCTTGTAAATTCACTGCCATATTTCACCCTTCAAACCAAAATACAGCCATGCAAACACAACTGCTTCACGGTTGAAACACGAGTGGGACAGAGGTACCCAAGCAAACGACTTTTTTACAAAGTCTCCCTCTGGTAGTGTATGGAGTAACAGCGATAGATCCTTTAGTGTTGCGAAGTGCCGTTTTCGTCACAGTATTGTCACATTTATAACCGATTTCAAAAATAGATTATTTTCAACTCGAGGCTCGCACCTGCAACCCTAAAAGGGTTGCGGATGAACTCCCTGTCTGAAGGTCTGACTGAGATTATTTTCAATTAAAAGGAGTCCTGCATATAACTGGCCACTAATAATATCGCAAAATATAACTGGCCACTAATAACAATAATAAAAACGAAATCTACTTGTATTCTCTAAAAAAAGAGATATATATTCTTCATTTGTCATTATTTAAAATATTTTTCCCGCTCTGCACTAAATTATATTCTCAAGTTTTTTTATGAAAACATATTTTTTAATGTGTCTTCAAGTCAATTTCATGACGATACCACCATATAAATAATCGAACTTGAGAACTGTCGCGTGTGTTATTTATATTTGTTCGTTTATTCACATTTTCCACAAGAAACTGTCTTCATATTCTATAGCCGGTCGTCTTCATCTGTTTGGTTCTGGTGTGTGCTATTTTTAATAGCATGATAGATAGGATTGCAGGTTAGTGGGTACTGTTGTTTATGGATATTTTTTATTGTTATTTGTTGTCCCATAGTCAAGGGATTATATAAGTTTTGTGGAAGAACACCCCTATAAGATCGGGTAAGAACCGGCATCGATTTTTTTTTTATGCAACTTATAATGGCAAACAAGCTGACGGCCTACCTGATGGAAAGTTGTAACTGTCGCCTATAGACATGAGCGTTATATATAATAAACGTCTATAGAATGGTTATTAACACACCGCTCCATCACTTATTGCTAGCAAGAAACCTCATTAGGTCAATTTGCGCGCGGGTCTCCATAGATACCATCATAATTATCGGTGAGTTTTTCACGATTAATTAATTGACTTAACTTAATCCTCATCTATCATCTCTCAATGGTACCTCGCCAGTGTATATTAATAGCACAGGCAGAGTTATTATTTCATTTTCACCTCTAAAAAAAAATCTTAGCCTATGGGTGCATGCAATACCACAGGCTTTACTTTAGGCATTGTTGACCCTAAAGAAACCTTTTTACCTCATGCTCTAGTCTCTTGTACAATACACAATGATTCGGGCGGTTGTATTATATCTATAGGATGTCGATGAAAAAGTTTAGCATTACCAATGCTAACCAACGCAAACCGTAGATTAGCTCCACTAGACAAATGGCAAACGAGTCTATTAACACAATTATTGTCGTATTGTCCATGAGATTGAATGAGATGGCGATGTACAATGGCATAAGGTAATACATAAACTAATATTTATTAGAGTTTAAAGATTATGGATATTATACTTGTCTTTACAGTATTTAAAATAATTTTGTTTTATACTTATGTTTACTGAAAGATTGATATGACTCATAATATGTATAAGAAAAAGTCGTATTGCTTTAAATTACTGAAATTAAATAAATAATCTGGTAAATCATGGTTTACACAATTTTCTTTTTTGCAATATTGCTATTATTTTTACAGCAGGCGCTATACAAACTACATCGTGTAGCACCTACAATTTGAATAACAGAAATAAATTATACACTAGTTGAGTTCGCGGTAATCCGCAAGGCAAACGCAATTAATAAAAGCTTCTATATTTTATATAACTTCCTACAAAAGAAGGAACAAGCTTTTATTATTCGCTTAATCGAACCGATTCTGATAAAACATTCCTATACGAACTCATATTGACCTCAAGGGATATAAATGATACCAGGAGTCATGCTTATACACATAAAGGGATTGAACTAACGGTAGGACTGTGCCATAGGTATTTACTGCTATTACTTACGCTGTGTACTGGTAGTAATCTCGGCGTTCTTGGCATCCTGGATTAACATTTTTTAGGAATACTATGAAAAATGTTACTTAAGAGCAAGATAAAGTTATTACTCATTTATACTATTTTATTAAAATTCGTTCAGTTTTATTTTTATTTAAAATTAATTTAAATATAATATATAGAGAGCTTCTTTATATATAATAAGGTTAATCTCCTCAAATTCTTGCAACTTAAAACGATTGATTTTTGCTTTAAAAATCCCTTTGTATTGTTTATACATCTTGTTAATTAAAACAACTATTCTTGATCCTTATCAACTAATAGATACCATTACCTATCATATAAATCATTAGAGCCACTTATCACAACTTGAACAATTTATATATCTATTAAGGCAGTTCGTTTTCATAATAGGCAAATAATTTAGTTTCTAGTATATCTTTATTAATATCTTTATTAGATAAGAAAGTACCTTAAGATATTTTTCTTAAATGAACTGTTGTTCAAATTTTGTTTGTGGATTTCTATCAACATGTCGAATGGGAGATAAATATTCAAAAATGATTGATTATAAGCTATTTTTAACAGAACTAGATTCTTTTATTGTGCATTTTTTTGTTGTTATATTCATTACTAACAACCCGTTTCGGCTTTGCATGCTTTTTTAAGTAAAATATATTACTCAGTGATAATTTAAACGTTAATATGTTATTGTCATAAAAACAGAAAGTTTACAAAAAAAAAATAGTTTAGATACAGCGTCACCAATTCTGAATTGATTTTAATATCTTTTATTGTAGTCGATATAAATTGTTCCCGTGTTTATTCCATATAATTTTTTTGACGATTGAAGTTCAAGTTCTATTTATTTTTAGGGGAAAATTATTCATATCTATGAGACATAAGAACAGAATTAAATGCTAGTAGGACGAATAAAACAATATATATATGTTTTATTCATGATATATTGCTTATCGTTATAGAGTAACAGAGTTTGTTTCTTAAATATGAAACTACAGTTTGATGGATTTAAAATGCTAGTAAATGCAACAAACAAGTATAAACAAGGCATTGCGCTATCACAATAATAAAATAGTCAAACTCAATCAATGATAAGCCAATATAAATATTCAGATCTATAAAAACTTAGCGAATTGTACAAAATATTATAACATTACATTTTTAAAAATCTCATATGTGCTAATTAGGTACCACTAATTAATGTAGGTATTACATTCTCATTTTCACTACTTACTACCATATAAATTTAGACATATTTACAATTTATTAATTTTTGTCCACAACTAACGTTGTGAGAGCGCAAATGTATAAATTGAGCATCTTAGTCTTCATTATTTTCTAGAAACGGAAGCGCTTGCCCGACAACGACTTGATGTTCTATCAAATTAAATTATAATACAACAATCGACACATTAAATAACTCAGTTACACAATAGATAAAATTCTCACACACACTCACAGCACAGACTGTATTCGATCATAATTTTAATTTAAATATTATAAATATTTCTAGAAATGCAGTTCAACTTGGTACGACACATTGTGAGCCCTACAGCAGGGCGCACATTCCGAATTTTAAAATTTCGATCTCAACACTAAGTACAAACAAAGAAAAAACATAACATTTTTATAGGTACACGTAAAATTGTGACATATTTTGTGTTATTAGTTTGAGAAACAATTAGAAGCTAGTATCACTAAAATGAGGAAAGAAATTCCTTATTGTGGAGTTAATTTACATTAATGCTTCATCAGCATTAATATGTTTTATAGATCGGACAAGAAGTGTCATCCGATCCATAATTGTTTCATTTCAAGTCAGCAAAATAAGAATTTAGCACCATCCGTTTGTCCAATTTCATTTGACACAATAATCTTTTAACCCTAGCTGGTTTGAAATGAAACGTATGATTTTATGAAATATCCATAAAGGCTAAAGCTACATATTCTAGTCTAACTTATAACTAGACTTAAGTGATAACCCCGTACCATCACCAAAGATTGCACATAATACCCGATACTTTGATTTTTGCAGTCATGCCTAACATGTAGGCAATGGATATTTCTCACATTGACTGTTAAAAATTAAGGTATATAAGGGAACAAAAGGTGGATAGTTCCGTAGTTTAATATAAACCGTTTAAATATGTAGTTTTACAACGGAATGTCTACATTTATGGAAGACATCGATTACACACTAAAATATTTTTGCATGCATAAGTTTTCAAGTTTAGCTGAATGCACTGGGCCTATCCCAATAACTAATACTTCGATTTTTTTTATAAAAGTAAATCGGACGGACTAAATTCGTAATTAAGTACCCTTCATTCCATTGTCTCTACTGAAGAACTGATATTTGTTTAATTTGCGCTGTAATCGGTTCCAGTATTAACCAATTGATTTCTTAAATAAAATTGTTATTTTTTTAATTATGAACAGGCATGGGAAGCTGCCCAAGAAGTTGATTGGCAAATGATGCGTTTGTGAATTTGAAATGCCTTTTGTCGTAAAATTTTAATAGCGCAGGTGAGTACGGATGCTGTTTCTTTAGATGCATGTAGTGTTCCTCTGGCTCCGAAGTAGTATGCCCACACTCTTCACACACGTACATCTAGAAATATAGTGCATAATATTAGTTCCGTTATTTCCATTATCAATAAATTTTTGGAATATCGTAAAATTTACAGAAATTAGTAGTTAAAATATTTTTCACGTATAAAATTAAATGTCTAAATTACTATATTCATTAATTTAGTTTAACTATGAAGATCTTTAATTCAATTTAGTCGATAAATAAATAGTCTTTCCACCACTAGTTTGAAGTAGAATTTCGGAGACTATCCTATCTGGGAATATAGATTAATCGATTATTGTTGTTGTGATGATCGTAACATTTTATTGTCGTATCATCATACGAACGTATTTTGTTAAGATGTTTATTTTAAAAACTAGTTGATATCCGCGACTTTGTCCGCGTGGTATTTGTTATTCCTGTTTAGTATGTGTAGATGTATGTATCTACTTTTTTTTAAATAGAATGGCAAACAAGCTGACGGCCTACCTGATGGAAGGTGGTAACCGTCGTCTATGTCCTTTTTTATGTCTGGGACCAAAATTAACTAATGATGTGTCGTTCTCACTCTTTGGCTTAGGCCAATATGACTTTACTTAAGTAGGCTGTGTTCTAAGACGTATCAGTTACTATAGCTTTTTAACTATTCCACGGGAACTCTTTAATTTTCCGTGATTAAAAGTTGACTAGTAATGTAAGGTACGATCATGCAAAATTTCATTTTAATCGGTCCAACAGTTTCAGAAATTAGCCTGTGCAAACAGACAGAGAAACAAAAAATTTGAAAAAATCTGGATATAATGTATTTCACTTTTAATATTCCCCTGACTCGGTTTTCAGCATATTTTTTTCTATGTACCGACATTTGACTTCTACAGTTTTATTATATGTATAGATATTAATTAAATTCACTTTAATTTATTACAAATACGTACCTTAGTTCGCCTTTCCTTGTAAGCGTAAGTGTGCTGCACACCGTGGACTTTTAAACAGTGAGATTCTAGTGAGCATCTTTGCGTAAACGATTTTTCGCACAGATTGCATTTGTATGGTCTGACTCCAGTATGCGTTCTGGTATGACGTTTCAAATCAAAGGTGTCATTAAAACCTTTGCCACAGAATGTGCACAAGTATCGCTTAACATCTGAATGACATTTCATATGTCGGTTCAAAAGCCTCTGTAAGCTGAAGTTCTTTGAGCAAACCCTGCAAACGAACTTAGTAGGATCATCTTCGCTAACTAATACTTGTTTGTTCTTTTCTTCTTCCCTTTGTCGGGCATTAGCTTCAGTCGCTAGGGGATTTTTTACGCCATGTCCACCATTGATGAATTCCAATGGTAGTTCAGCAGGTAAACCCAGCTGTAAAAATGTAAATGATTAGTTGTTGTTTTTAAATGTTTTATAGATTAGAAATATAATATTCATTATTAAATTATAAGGCTGAGCTTAATGCTATTACCATTATATAATTCAATAAAAATAAAAAGTCAAATGCAGTAAGTTAAAGCATAGTTGATTCAGGCTTAGCGTTACAAATGAACGACTTTTAATAATCAAATTTCTTTGTCATTACTAATATTATTTATAGCTTCGCCTTAAAATCAAATAATGCTTACCCTATGTTGCAAGATTTGCATTTTGCTCTCGTTGACAGAGCCTTTCTTGAGACTTACAGCAGCTGCTGGACTGAGAGATGAGTTCTCGATGTGATTGTTGCTATCCAAAGAATTGTTCCCTCCAGGCGAAGGAAGTGATACACCCGTAGGTGAATCCAACTCCAATGAGTGACTAGTGAATGGAAAGCCAGGAGACAATATTTGTGGCCTTTGCTGAAACTGAACGTGAATTTGGAGCTGTTGCATTTGACCCTCGTTATGTTGTAGTAATGCTGGATTTAATTGCATCAGTAAATCTGGACGGTCTTTAGCAAAAGTATAAGATGGATTTTGCTCTTGACTTGCAAATGCTAAATAATTGGCTTTTTCATAATATTGTCTACTTAAATTTACCTGCTCTGCCAACGTCTCGATATCTAATGGATTGTGAACAGAGTCCGGAGTAATTGATGATGATTCTCTGAGTTCTGAATCTGTTATAGATTCAACATGGTTATTTAATAAATTTGCAAAGTCTTCTGTTGAATCTGATAAATTGCTTAAAATACCTTCATTTGTACCTGAGAATGTTAAAGTGGTAGAAAATTGATAATTATCTATAACGTCATCTCCCATATCTACTACCATTGAATCATCAAAATTATTTGGATAGTTGCTAATTGCGCTTAAATTTTCTAATTTGTTTTCATAATCAATTTCTTCGTCTTTTAGAGCTAAACCGTAATGGGCATTCTGCATTAATGAATATTGTTTACTTTGTTCCGGAAAATTTGTAGTATTTTCATTGTTTTCGCAATCCATGTTGAATCCGTTTATAATATTGAATTCATTAGAAAAATTACTATTGGCGTTGAAAGAATTCTGTCCCCCCTTTGAGGAGGGTCCTAGTGTTTCATAAAAAGGAGGTAGACTCCCGGTAGGTGGACTATTAGGGCCATAATTAGATCTACCATCTCGGCCATTACCACCACTTCCTGATCCCCCACCAATTGCCCCACCTCCTCCAGAAGAAGGAGCAGTGCTACCACCTCCAGAGCTAAAACTTCCCGAATTTCCACTATTATTAGAACCACTAGAAGAACCATTGCCTCCTGTTGACCTTCCATGTCCTGCAGCAGCATTGATTATTCCGGGAACTTTACTGGCGGGGCAATTTCGCAAAATTAATACAGGTCTAGCTAAAATTCCATTAGCGATTTTTGAACTACTTGTTCTTCTTTGTTCTCTTATTTTTTTCTCTGTTTCTTCATCTTCTGATTCTCCTCGTTTTTTTGCTATGACATAATCAATCGGTTGGTCTTGTTCTGGTTCTGTTGCAGGAAGTGTTGCTGGAATACTAACTTCTGATAATTCTTTCTTATTATCACGAAATTGTGATTGTGACGGTGTTCTCTGGATAACAGATACTTTTTGACATGTTACATTGTTATCTATGCTTGGTGAAGGTACTGATTCAGGTGAAGGAGTATTTCTAGATGGAAGAACTATAGGTTCACTGTCTAAGACATCTTTTTCTTCTTTTATTATTGGTCTGTCATCAGTTTTCTTATCTTCTGTAACTACAGGTAAGTATTGTTTACGTTCTGCTTGAGTAAGGACATGCCCTCTGTGACTACCGTAAGGAATACCACCTCCAAGAATTGACGAAATGAATCTTCTTGGTTCTTTTGTTTGTATATCTTGTACACCTTTGGTTCCATTATTCTCTCCAAAGACATCACGATCTGTAAAGAAATATGTACACGGTTAGAAAATTTCTATTAGGTTATAATTAATGAATAATAAAATTATATATATGTACTTTAAAGTAAACAGTATGAACATTCGTCCTCGGCTCATTACTAACGTATTCGTGTGGCGTCGGAGGCATGAGGCCTCGTTGACGTCACTGGTATGTGCCTCCATAACGGTAATACTCGCCTCCACATACACGCCTACAATTCTATGTGTGTGTGTTGTATATTTATTATACAATTGGCGCGCTAGCGGACAAAGTGACAAATTCAATCTCGACCCAAATCTGCCATCCATTGACACCACTGAGTTTTACCCATTCAGTCAATGTTAAATGTTTCCTGTCTGCCGTGGTATGATTTTAACTGACTAAATTACATATACCGTCGATTTTGACTAAATAAAAAATAATATATTTCAATTAAAACGGAAACGTTCACAACATAGTTGAAGTAAAAACTAAGACTAATTATAGAGTAATAATGAAATGAAATTAAGTGTAAAATTGTGCTTTACTAGAAATACACTATTTTAACAAAAGTGCGTAGGTAGTCAGTGAAAGTCTCAAGGTTGGCTCAAACGAGTTCCTTTGCCCTTTCTCGGCTTTTGTTAGGGATTCAAGGACGATGCCTGCATTGTTGGGGCTCTTTTTTGTCCGGTGCTCGTAATTGTATGCGTCTGTGCAAGCAGTCGTGACGGAATGGAGCGTGGGCTTGTAATTTTTAAAACTGCAGAACCATAGTGCACTGTTTGATGAATTTTACTTTTCTTTTTTAAGTTGATGGATATTTTTAAATTAAGGTAAAAATTAAAGTTCTATAAATAGATACGTTTTATTTGGATAAAATATTACAGGAGTAACTTATTGACTGATTTTGATAAATGCATTGACGGAAATATTTTTGGACAAAAATTTATAAAGATACAATTCTTTTATTATTTAACTTCTATAAAAAAGTTTGTAACGAGTATTCTAAAATCACCACGAATTTCTGTTAGTAATTAGGAAAGTGATTCATTGTTCATACTACGGAAGAAGCTGCCTTTTACGGAAGAAGAGGCTTCTGCTATGGAGACTAAATTATAATTATTAAAAGAGAAGATTTTAAGGCCCCATATTGAACATTACAAAATTACTGCAGGTATAGCTAATAGCAGAGATGTTATGATAACTTTTTTTAATTTATCATATAGGGTTACTCGAAATAACAAAGTAAGAAATCACAGGCATATAGGTATGTGTAAATGGATGCAGTAATTGAAGGTGAAATGTCATAAGACTATATAACTTTTAATTCCACCTATGTTCGCGCGACTTGACATTTAGAACCAGAACAGGGTTCTTAATTAGTATTCTTTAGATGTCATATGGTTGCTGCGCCGTGCGTGAGAATTCAAATGAGGAATGTTCGTTATAGGATTTGTTAAACTAAATCATGAAATAAATAGCCCTGGATATAGCATCCAAACTTAGTTGCAACCAAAGCTTGCAGTATGACTAGACTAGCTTGTATTAGATTACATAAATAATTTTTTTGGAAATATCTAATATAGAAAACGCTCATTCATGTACAAAAGTATGTATTATAGGAGGATCAAACTCGTCATTTCAAAAGGTGAGTTGGTGATGTTAAACTTTTACATCAACGATGTATAAATGTTGTTAGATAAATACTGCTAAGAATAAATAATCAGAAGACAGCTCTCTTGGTGAAAAGTGATTGTTTATGATATATTGCCAATGACAAACCATTATGCGTCGCTATTTATAGGACGAATCATTAAAAAGCTGTCGTATTAACAGGCTTTTATCCATGTAACGTATTCGAATGTTTGTAGTAGTTTTTTTTTGTGTGAAACGAATATTATAAACGTGAGTTTATTTAACTGTTATCTTTTGGGATCTAAGTTGCTCAAGCTATCGTCATAACATCAATCAATATATTCTATTCAAGTGTTCGTAGTCGCACGTAAAACATCTGTTTAAATTTGTTTTTAACAAGAAACAATTATAAAAAAAAGAAATGTCTTTAATTATAGAGATCTGATTTAAAATAATCTTTTTGCGAGGATAATATTCCTTTTTTTTATTTATTATACAGGTATAGTATAGAAAAACCACAAATTCTCTAACTAACCTTTATTCGGTTTACTTTAGGATAGAATGTACTGTCAGTCTGTATTTAGTTATTATATCTCTAGAATTAGATAATTACCTAGAACTTCCTTGATACGCATACACTCGTCATTATTCGATCACCTTTATTAGTCAGAACCATATTTTATGTTACAAATTGCAACTGTTCTTATCGCTTATTTAAATAGTGCGGTTTTTATTCTAAAACGGTAAGTCAAGGCTCCGTAATTACCATGTCCATATCTATTCAGTTAGTGCCGTTTCCTGCCAAGAAACAGTGCGGGTAACCTTGTGAGCGAACGCTCATTATTTGGCCATTAACGTTGCCTTCCTCGCGTCACTTTTTGGCAATAATTAGCAATGGTAAATCAGTATGTTGGTTAGTTTTTATGTACATATAATGAGAATAAAATTCAAGATGCTGTTTTCCTATTATGATAATTAAAAGCATATTATGCTAAATGTCACTGGCATCTATGAGTATAAGACTTGCTTGTTGGGTAATATTTAAGAATATAACATAATTTACCAGAGGAAGACTTTGTACAAAAGTCGATTGTTTGAGTACCTCTGTCCTATTCGTGTTTCTACCGTGAAGCAGTTGTGTTTGTATGGCTGTGGTTCGGTATGAAGGGTGGGATATGGCGTGAATTTACAGGGTACAGAGGAATAACACCTGAGTCCTCAGGAATGGCAACGTATGGCGGGTATCATGAACGAAACAGTATACTATGTTATATCCATGGTACTACTCATGTCTATAGGCGACGATTACCACTTTCCATTAGGTGGGTCGTCAGCTTGTTTGCCATTCTAAGTTGTATAAAAAAAAAATTATCCTTTCTATAAATTTAAACGTGAGTTTGATTGTTTGATTAGATAGTTAATTCTTAATATTTTGACTGCTATCGGCTATAAGTATATAATATTCAGTATAGAAAATGATATAAGATAGTTGACAGTTATTACATTCCGGTCACGCAGGTGTGGTTGAGCTAGTAAATTATAAAACTCTTACAAAATTACTATTGCTAGAATAATACAGTACGGAAATGAATGTCTAATTTACATATTATTTTTCTTTAAAAGGAGTAAGTTTAGCCATTATTCTTCTATAAGTTTTTAGAGAGAGGAGATACTTATTATTAATTTTGTAAGAATACAACCTGTCATCACTGCAATGACTTAAACAATACACCAGAGCAAGAGAAGGAAATCTTATTAATATAATACTATTGTAACTCGATGATGTCTATATATAATATATGAGATATTTGAAAAAAAAAAAATTGATTGAAGACTGTTTACGGTCTTTATTAGAGCGAGAGAAGTAATATTTTATAGAGTTTTTGTTTAACTGTTTGATAAAATTCTATATCAAGTCTATTAGCGTGATATAGCAAGCTAGAATCTTTCTAAGATGTGATAGACTAAAGCATAGGTGAAATGATGATTTCGATAATATTACGGGACAGACATGGTCTATTAAACTCTTGATATATACAGTTAGGACCTTGTGAAAGGGTCTTTAAAATGCTTACTGTTCAATGCTTATACTAATCCTTTGAGCGAAGAAAATGCCAGATTTCGTCATCATTTTGACATCTGTAATATTGTATATAACCTTAATATACATATACACTTACCATAGAATGTGTTAAGGTTTTATTATGTAGATAGGTATAATAATAAAGTAAAGCGTTATAATAATTATAACGCTTTAGATATGTTAGTTGTTAATTATCGACACATTAATCATAAACAAAATGTTATTCAGAAATGGCAGAATGATTAATTGCAGTTTGTAAGTACAAAATTGTTTTACAATGATACTGTTTAATGCGTGATACAAATCCATGAAGCCATGACGACTGTATAGCCTTCGATTTAAGAATTTTTTATTGTTCATGATCGTTGCTGTAGTAAAAAACATTCGGCACACGGGTTTTGATTGTTCAGTGGATTTTTTTTATCATAACTGATATATAGTTCAATACTAATTGAGTCAAAACAGCAGTAAGTTTTAAAAAATTTCGTTCCATATGCTTTGCTATTTCTCAAGAATATGAGATCCTATACTTTGTCTTGCACTTATTTTATTTGTATTATATTTTCATGTAATTGTATCACCTGCATCAGCTACTCATATTTGCATGGATGAGGACATTTTGTCCATAGAGGACAAAAATTTATTAGCCATGTGTTAGTCTGGCGGACGTTAGTATGATGGATTAAAAATGCATGCAGAGGAATGTTTCTCATCTTTACATGCTTTTTGATGAAAATACTCGTATGACAATACAAATATTGTTACTATATAACAGAATTAGATAAAAAAGTGATGACTAAACATGCCCTTTACAAGACTACAGTTTAATTCTGACATCAAGCGGACTTGTTCTGTTAACAAATTCAAGTTCCTAGATAATATGTAAAATAATAAGTAGGTATGTAGACAATAAAGAGGCGGCAAAACATACCTCGCCATTAATAAAACTAAGAAGTACGGATAGGCGAGCTAGTGTGTCCTTGTGCTGGGGTTATCGGACTCTGTTAGCATTTAAACCCATTATAAAACGAAAGACAGCTATGAAGAACCGCTCCGAACTCGGAGCATATAAAATTCCGTTGAAGCCTTTTTTTCTATAAGCTGTACCGATAGCCCGGTACTCGGCACGGTACTTGCGAGCGTGTGCACTGGCCACAAGAATCGGTTAAAAGGTCGTGTCGAAGGACATTTTTTTGCTTTTGAGTTGTTTATCGTATGCATGGCCGCATGTGGAGAAGATAATGTAAATTATTGTACTTCTCGCTTTTAAACAATTGTCTCAATAGATATATGTATCAAATCAA